CCTAATAATAGTACCGTGTCCGCCAGTCAAGTTATCAAATTCAATTGTACATGAAACAAACTGTCACGTTCACTCCCAACTCGGTATTTTCTTTCTTGGGCCGAAGATAAAATTCCCAACATTGTTCCAGTTGAGGATGCCACTGCCGCCATTACATGACTCAGCATGAGACGTTTGGAAACTATTTTCTTACGGAAGATAAGGAAGCATAAAGGCTGAGTTTGTAATCGGTTATGAATGAGTGATATATTTTATTAAAGTTTACAAGTAATTAAGTAATTATTATATAAGCACAGCCAATATGAACCCCAATAACGCCCACCAGACCATTTGATATGGCGTAGTATACAATAATTTATCGCTGTACCAAAATAAACGATTATTATGTCCAAACCTAAAATATTTCCCAATACAAAACAAAATTTCATACAAGAGAGCTCCGATAGATAAACATAAATCCAGTTTTATTAGCCATGAAATCAATTCTACGACTTAAAGCTTCCACGAAATCCAAAAATAAAAAAAGGGAGAAGCGACCATCGGATAAATTGAAAATAACCGTGAGTGGTGAGATAAGGCGCGGGAACTAGTGTTTTCTACCAGTGGGAGACATGGTTAGGCTTCCCTCTGTGGCGTTCTTGTAGCCAGCATCCATCTTCCTCCGCCTGGTAGTATGTCACTTCTTGTTGCCGTTTTTGTACCAGTGACCCATAATCCGGAAGTAATCCGTCCCCGGTTCATAAGAGAGACATAAACCTTGTTTGTTTTTGTTCATATAAACCGAATAAGATCTTTGAGATAACATATGGTACATAATCTGGCAAGAATATTAATATAAATACAGACTAATACCTATAGAACCAACTTAATCACGTACGATTTTTGGTGTAGACAAGCAAGAGTGGAACCAAGGCATTAATAACAGAATACAACACATTAGTTTCAAAACACTGTAAAAACAAGAACATAAACAACAACAAACAGTTATTCAATGATATTAACAACCTTTAAAAACTAAGTACTTTTTAAAATGTCTCGTATGAAATTTGACCAGAAAGTTGGAGTAAAAGTATAAAAGTTTGTATCAGCGACATCACTAAGTGAATGTGAGACACTATTAGTGCTTTAATTTGCATGTATAAACATTTTTTTCTTTTTTAATTGAATAATTCCGAGTTTTTCCTTTTTAATCATAAATATTCTGTTTCCAATTAATTTGTATCGACTATTTAGTGACTACCAAAATTATTACAGTGCTGTTGCAGCTTATTTACTTATTTTCTTGTTCCTCTTCCAATTCTTATTTATCATCAGTATTTGTCCCACAAAAAAAGAACGACACACACACACTAAGGCAAGAAGACCAGCTGGGCGGTGTTGCCACGCACCCAACACCCAGACAAGGGTGGGGAGATAGTGAAACGTGGCGCCCAAACACCCTAGACTTTATCACTCCAGTTCGTCCCTCCCGTCCTTATAACCCATACATATTTATTATTTTTTAGCACTATGTTAACTAGCTATCATTTATAAACTATATATGGATATTTTTATTTTATTTTACTCTTTTTCACAGGGAGGATATGCTAATGAAATCATAACCGCGGTATTTTCACCCTTGTGGCATCGATCTTTAAGGGTGATTGTTATTATTCTGTACGTTTAGGACATCTGAACAGTTTAATAATAACTGCGAAAATTCAACCTTATGAAAAACTACCGTAAGGGACATTTTACATCACTCTATAGTAAATTCATAGACGGGGAAAACTCAGCCTTGTATATAACCAACATAAAGACCATTTTCGTACATCCACTCAGTACCCAAACCCACACAAAGGGAAATAAACCTTAGGAGAAGCGTACGTAAGGATTATTTAGCTTATTGCCTTTGATAATAAACGACAACAGGGGGAAGTGAACCTTATGCTATGGTGGGAAACGGGCCATTTACCCTCATACACTAGTTTAAGGGGTTAGTCAGCTCCGTATATAATTTAGTTATCTGGTCGCTTACACAACCAAACTGTCCACTCACATTATATTCTCCTATACTGTACTACACTGACTATCATACTGACTCACCCATGATACTGACTATACCATCATCATACTGACTCACCCATGATACTGACTATACCATCATCATACTGACTCACCCATGATACTGACTATACCATCATCATACTGACTCACCCATGATACTGACTATACCATCATCATACTGACTCACCCATGATACTGACTATACCATCATCATACTGACTCATGATGCAAACTATATTATCATGACTCACCCATGATACTGACTATACCATCATCATACTGACTCTACGGATAATTGAGTCATACATAATACTTATCTCGACTAGGGGTATAGAGCACTTTCCTAGGACTTATACCTGCAGTGAGAGAGAGAGAGAGAGAGAGAGATGGTAGTTGTCGCTATAGTAAATTGTTATAGATCGGAGGAGCCACTTGATACCCTTTCCTTACCCTCCCTTCCTTCCTTCCTTCCTCCCTTCCTCTCCCTCCTTCCCTACCCCTTCCTTTCACACTCCCTCTTCCCCTCCACACCCTCCCTTCCCTTCCTCCACCTCCCTCCCTTCCCTTCCTCCACCTCCCTCCCCTTCTTCCCCCTTCCCCTTTCCCTCCCCTTCTTCCCCCTTCCCTTTCCCTCCTTTCTTCCCCTTCCCCCTTCCCCCTTCCTTCCCTTTCTTCCCCCTTCCTTCCCTTCCCTCTACAAGAATAAATACATCTCTGCCTTGAATCAAATGGCGTCAAGTCAATGTGAAACGGGCGGAGCACAGACGGAAGGGCGGATTAAGAGAGGGCAGAGAGAGAGCGGATTAGAGAGGGGCGGAGAGGGCGGATTAAGAGAGGGGTGGATTAAGAGAGGGCGGAGAGGGGCGGATTAAGAGAGGGCGGAGAGGGAGAAGGATAGGACGTAAGAGGAAGCAACATGGAAGAGGGGAGCAAGGATAGGACGGGACAGAAGGATGGACGGTAGGGGGGTGAGGATAAGACGGTAGGGGGACGGCTGAGGGTGGAACGGATGGGACAGGGGCTAGACGGAGGATAGACAGAGACGGGAAGGAGCTTTAAACCCTTGTTAAAAAGACCTCATGACTTAACCTACCCTAACCTAACCTAACACACACACATGCAAACAAACACCACACACACACACACACACACACACACATGCAAGCAAACACACACACACACACACATGCAAGCAAACACACACACACACACACACACACACACACACATCATCACTAAACGATATCATGTTAATCTAAGCAAATAAACCATCCACCGGGAGGCCTGACTTCTTATCTTTCTCTTTATCTGTCTGTCACATCACCTTACTTCATTTTCCCTCCATTTATCATCATTTTAATTCTCGTCTCTCTCTCTCTCTATCTACCATTCCCACCATCATCATTTTCTCCTCTACCCCTCATTCTAATTCTCATCTCTCTCTCCATCTACTACTTTCATCACCATTATCTCTCTCCCCTCATTGTATTTATTCTCCGCTTAGTTATCCATTTTTCCCCTGTTCCTCCCTTCCTCGCAATTTCCTCCCATTTCCTTATTTATCGTGATGTTTTTGTTCTATCGGATTCTCTCTGTCTCTCCCATCTCTCCCCCTTCCTCCTGACCTAATCTTTGGTTTCTCTCTCTACTTCCCCTCTTCTTTTCCTCATTCTCTTTCATATCTCCCTTCCTTTCCTATCTCTCTCTCCTATAATACCTTCCCTTCCTGTATCTCCCTCTCCTCTTTCCTCCATTCATCTCCCCTTTCCCTCTCTGTCCCTTCCCTTCCCTCCCTCCCATCCCTTTGACGACGATGATTTAAACTAAGTATTAAATTCGGTAAAAAGACAGACACACACACACACACACACACACACACACACACACACACGACCAGCGACATAGAACAATCTTAAAATTCAACAAAATAAAACCGAAGACAGACAGACAGACACACATAAGGACAGACAGAGAGACAGACAGAGACAGACAGACAGACACAGACAGACACACACACATAAGGACAGACAGAGAGACAGACAGAGACAGACAGACAGACACAGACAGACACACACACATAAGGACAGACAGAGAGACAGACAGACAGACACAGACAGACACACACATAGGACAGACAGAGACAGACAGACAGACACACACATAGGACAGACAGAGAGACAGACAGAGACAACAGAACAGAACAGACACACACACATAAGGACAACAGAGACAGACAGAGACAGACAGACAGACACACACATAAGGACAGACAGAGAGACAGACAGAGACAGACAGACACAGACAGACACACACACATAAGGACAGACAGAGAGACAGACAGAGACAGACAGACAGACACAGACAGACACACACACACATAAGGACAGACAGAGAGACAGACAGAGACAGACACAGACAGACAGACACACACAGGACAGACAGAGAGAGACAGACAGAGAGACAGACAGACAGAGAGACAGACAAAGACAGACAGACACAGACAGACACACATGGAGGCTGGTCGAGGGGATTAATACAAGAAGCAAAAATAAAAATCGGGTGAAGGAGCTGACAAGAGAGTTGAATGTCGGCCAAGATGACAAAGGCGGAGGAGAGAGAGTTACTTGTCTAGTCCATTAACATCTCAGTCAATATAACGACAAATAAATAAATACACAAATAAACAAATATATATATAAATAAATAAATAAACAAATAAATATATAAATAAATAAATAAACGATATAAATAAATAAATAAACACCGTAGACTTTGAACTGACGACGCTGCTACCAGACCCAAGATCTTAATTAAATTCTAATCGAAGCTGATTTACATATTACCCGAAATTGTCTAATTAAGCTCCTTGTTTATATTCTCCCTATGCTAATTGTCTTCAAAAGGTGTTGTTGTATTAATTGATATTCTTGTGTTGAATTTTTTCCCGCTTTCAGAAAATGAACATGGAAACCGGCCAAGTGAAGAGAGCCTGTGGGACGGAAGACATGTGTACCAACAGTAAGTGAACTCTCTCTCTCTCTCTCTCAACAAATTAATAAAACTTTCCAAAACAAAAATAATAAGAAACCTTTCAACAAAAAATTCATAAAAAAAAATATCCGGTCCCTCATCTATCAAAAGTTGGGAGCAGTGTCAACATCCCGCCATCTTGGTTCTCCGGGAAGATTAAATTGTCAAGGCTGAGTGTTTATGTGTGAGGATTTTTTTTATACTACTACTACTACTACTACTACTACTATCAATGGCCTCCATCCTCCCCCAATAGCCACACCTTCGCCGCCATTTTATTACCTTAAAATTAAATATCTACGACTACTACTACTAATAATAATAATAATAATACTAATAATAATAATAATAATAGTAACAATAATAATAATAATAGTAATAATAATAATAATAATACTAATAATAATAATAATAATAATAATAGTAACAATAATAATAATAATAACCACCTGTACCGACGCAAGCCAACTTCTACTGACCTGTAGTGACCTATAATGACCTCAATCGACCTGCAACTTTTTCTTGTGACATATAATGACCTGTAAAAACCTCAAGTAACCTGCAACGATCTCAAGTGACCTGTAACGACCTCAAGTGACCTGCAACGACCTCAAGTGACCTATAATAACCTCAAGTGGACCAGTAACTACCTTACGTGACCTGTAATGACCTTAAGTGACCTGAACGACTTAAAGTGACCTATAATAACCTCAACGACTTCAAGTGACCTAAAATGACCTGCAACGACCTCAATTGACCTGTCTTCCCTCCTACAGGCGAGACAAAACTGAAGACGAAGTACACTGGAGTCGCCTGCTGTACCGGAGACAACTGTAACCCGGCGTCCAGTGCGTCACCCCCTCCTCTCCTGCTCCTGCTGGTGTTGATGTTCCTGCTTCCTGTGATGCCTCGCCTTCTGCTGCTCAGCTGTTGATTGTTTATTACCTGTACCTCCCCGTCCCCTAAATCACCGCGGTGGATCTGCTTGCTAATGTGTAATGTTTATGTTGTGGAGTGATTCTTCTTCTTCTTCGTCAGCGTCTTCGTCAGCCAGCTTGTTGCAAGGGTTGAAGAATGTTGTACTGTATACCCGTCCTTTCTGCACCTGCCATCTCTCTCTCTATCTCTCTGTCTCTCTCTCTGTCTCTCTCTCTCTCTCTCTCTGTCTCTCTCTCTCTCTCTCCTTCCTATTGCTCCTGTTGTAGTTATTTCTTCCTGTTTCCCTTACTGTTGTTATTGACCTTTCCATTGTTTGTTACCGTTCCCGTTGTTCCCATTCCTTCTACTACTACTGTTCCCGTTGTTCTTACTGTTGTGCCTGGTGTTGCTACTGTTTCCCGTTGTTCCTATTCCTTCTACTACTACTGTTCCCGTTGTTCTTACTGTTGTGCCTGGTGTTGCTACTGTTTCCCGTTGTTCCTATTCCTTCTACTACTACTGTTCCCGTTAATCCAAGTGTTTCCGTTGTTCCTACTCCTTCTACTACTACAGTTCCCGTTGATCTTACTGTTGTTCTTGCTGTTGCTACTGTTCCCTGTTAATTTACTAGTCATTTGTCAACCATACCACCGACCCACCCCATTCCTGTCTCTGTTCTTGTCGTTACTGCTACTGTCGCTACTGCTCCTGCTACTGTCGCTACTGCTACTGTTGTTCCTGCTCCTGCTACTCACTGGGTCTTTTCCCCTCTTCATGTCCCAAGGTTGTGTAGTTCTCTCCTACTTAATATATGTATAGTCACTTCCTTGTCTCCTGCTGCTGCCACGCCTACTCCTGCTGCCACGCCTACTTCTGATGCCACGCCTATTTCTGCGGACACGCCTCCTCCTGCTGCCACTGCTGACTATCCCTCGCTCTTTATGGCCAACGAGGGTTTACTATACTTCTGCTGACACCCTCTCGCTGACACCCTCTCGCTGACACCCTCTCGCTGACACACCCTCTTGCTGATACCCTTTCGCTGACATCCACTCGCTGACACCCTCTGACACCTCTCGCTGACACCCACCTCGCTGATACCCACTCGCTGATACCCACTCGCTGACACCCACTCGCTGACACCCTCTCGCTGATACCCTCTCGCTGACACCCACTTGGACACTCTCGCTGACACCCACTCTCGCTGACACCTTCGCTGATACCCTCCGCTGACACCCTCTCGCTGATACCCACTGCTGACACCCTTCGCTGATGCCCTCTCGCTGACACCCTCTCCTTGACACCCTCTCGCTGATACCCACTCGCTGACACCCTCTCGCTGATACCCACTCGCTGACACCTCTAGCTGACACACCCTCTCGCTGACACCCTCTCGCTGACACCCTCTCGCTGACACCCTCTGCCTCTCGCTGACACCCTCTCGCTGACACCCTCTCGCTGACACCCTCTCGCTGACACCCACTCGCTGATACCCACTCGCTGATACCCTCTCGCTGACACCCACTCGCTGACACCCTCTCGCTGACACCCTCTCGCTGACACCCACTTCCCAAATAGCTGACACCCCATTCCAAAATGTTGAAGTTAATGTATATGATATATATGAGACTACGATCATTCTTTAATTTTTTATATATAAACTAGTTCGCTAATTATTATCCCAGACCTTCTTATTGAGGAATTTGTATTATTATGTATTGTGTAATCAATGTTGTAATAATATGATAGCTTTGTGTAATAGCTCCTGTAATATATAAAGTTTACTGTTATTAACTTTGTAATAATTCGATTTACTGTATTGAAAGACTGTAATGGAAAAGTTTACTGTAATAAGCTCTGTAATTACTCGATTCGCTGTACACTGTAAGATCAAATTTTACTGTAATATATAAAGATTTCCTGTAATAAACTTTGTAATGATGAAGTTTACTGTAATGAAAATTATCCTAATACAGTAGATACAGCTTTATGTAATACCTGTACTTCAACTCCTGTAATTACCATGTTACAAAACTCTTAATAGCCTTGTTACAACCTCAATAATAAGTGTTACAACCCCTATGTGTCACGATGCCTATAATAACAGTGTTAAAATCCTGATTATAGCAGTGCCAAATGTTTACAAAGAACAGTGTTGCCAGAATACAGTAGAGTGCATGGCAGAACTCGTCATTTGCGTTGTTACTTGTATATAAATAATCCTGTCGCCCCTCCATTAATTTTTCTACATTGTATATTTCTAACTAAAAGAATTATCGATGTTTACCAAGACAAAATTATCTAAACTTACATTAACTGAATATTTTTAAGTCAAATGCTGTTTTTATTGTTTATGGAATATTTTTTTTTTTAATTCTTAGGTATTTTTAGTTTCACCTTTTTTTAATCTGCTTATTTACAGCCAGTGTCATAGGAACCTTTGACAATTAAATCTATTATGTAACCCATTTTTATGAACCCTCTCTTAGTAACTTTATATATATTCACTTAACACTAATTACTAATCATATCTAACCATTTTATACTGAAGTTTTTATAGAGGATCATAATTTGTATCATTATTTGTTAAGTATTATTACATTCAAGATAGCTTAATTACTAGTTATTATACACTAATTATATGCATGTAATATACCTCTCTATGTAATGTTATATATTTTTTTTCTTTGTAAATATTCGTCTAAAAAACCCAGAAATGTATAGTAATTAATATATGAATAATGTTACTATCTATCCAGGTGCAATAGCTGGTCAATATTTCCATTTCACTCCAATATCTCCGTTTGTACGTTGTCACGCTTCATATAAACATTGTGTTCTGAAGAAAGAGTTTATTTCATTAATCCTTTTTATAAACAGAGGAAACATAAACAAAAGTATTATTGGTTTTGAGAAATAGTCTAACTTGGATACAGTGATACGGCTGGCTACTGATAAATATATATACTATACGAATTTTTCACAACATATTACACTATTAACTGAAATCCCAACGTCATTTTAAAGTAATGATGATATATTGAGATCAATTAAAAAAATAAATAAATAAAAATAAAAAATAAAAAAAGAATTCTACCCAAAAAAAATGGAATTTGAACTGAGGCTCGATGGTCAAATACTATACGTGTACTATATCCACGCTGCCCTTAACAGACCAACTTTAAGTATAAGCTGTTTCATAACCTATGCGCTATAATAATAAAATATATTCCTCTATATACTATCTATCCCCTAACATGAAGGAGACGGTATTGTATTTCAGAATGCCTGACGTTCTCCAGTGTCTGGCAGCGGGGCGCGGCATCTGCAGTGTTGCCAGCAGCCGGGACGTAAATTATTGTCCCCTGCATACATAACCGCCTCGGGTCTTATCTCCCTCACTCGACAAGATAAAAAGATTCTTACGAGAAGACAACATAAACACGATATACCGCAATGCTCAGAGATATTATAACAAACCCATTTTACTGTACAATAAAAGTCAATCCATAAAGACCTTAATGCACAATCCTCAACAAGTGTATTAATTAACGAATGAAAACAAAATCTGAGTTGGCCTTTGATAATCAAATTTAATAACCGGGAAGGTAGAAGAACCAGACACAGAGACGAGAGAGAGAGAGAGAGAGAGTACCATGGTGGAGGCGGTCATGCAATAACAGCCCTGACAGTAATTTGGTTGTTGGCCACTCAGCAAAAAATGAACGAGGAGTAAAGAAGTGGAGCTACCAAGGGTGAGAGTGTGCTGGAAGATGGGGGAGGGGGGGTGTGAATAGGAGGAGGAGGGGAGGAAGATGTAGTGAGAGGCGGAGGAGGATAAACAATGGACACAAGTGAAAGGATGAGAGTGGCCAAGGAGAATGGGGGAGAGAGAAGGAAAGGGAGAGTAGTAAAATGAAAAGTAAAGGAGGGGGAGAGAGAGAGAGAGAGAGAGATGAAATAAACATTGAATATAAAAGATACACAACCGTGGGTGGCCATGGTCAAGGAGACGCTGGGAGAGAAGAGAAGAGGAGAGAGAGAGAAGGAAGAGAGAGAGAAGAAGAGAGGGAGAGAGAGATACACACACAGAATAAAGATGAGTTATTGTGGGTGTGTGGCCGTGGGAATGAGATACCAGAGAGAGAGAGAGAGAGAGAGAGAGAGAGAGAGAGAGAGAGAGAGAGAGCCTAACACTAAACTTCAGAACACCTTTTCATCTCCACCATTACCTTAAAAACATTTCCCTTGTACATCCAAAAAGGATCACCTGAAGATTAACCCCTCTCTTATTTCACCTTAAAATTAACCACCCTGACGCTAACCTAACCTTACAATCAGGCACCATTATCACCAGGCAACATCACCACACACACACACTCAAATATTAGAGGACAGGGAGGAGGATCAGGGCTAAAGATGAGGGTCATGGATTAGGTTAATGATCAAGAATGAGAGTTACGGATGAGGGCCATGAGTGAGGGCCATAAATGAGGGCCAGGAATAAGGGCCAGGGGTCAAGAAAGGTTAGGGAGGTAGCCATGGAAGCCAGCATGTGTGTACAAGATGGATAGCGTGTGGCAGTGGGGTTGTGTCCGGTGCATTATTACTGAGGAGGATGGTCCACGCCTCCTCACCTGCCCTTTATAACACCTGCTTCAACTATTAACACAAACTATATCCAACAACCTTATTTCCCAATCTATGAACATTTACAGAGTTGTGGATCAGTGTAAGCTGTAAAAGAAAATGGTAATTGTTCACAACCGCAAGATAATTATATACAGAATACCAATGTATACATGTATAAATTAATAGCATGTGTTTGTGATTAGTCTTATAAGCATTGATATACTATGACGCAATGCTAACGTTACAGACAGAACCAACCAATGAGATGCATCACAGCCTACTACTCGGCTGTAGTACTATGCACACGACAGAGGAGGATTTGATTAACGGAAGGCTCGGGAATAATCCATCGTAAGGTTTGTGCAATCTGGATTTAAGCTTTAATCCTGTTGTGAATTAAAGTGAAATAGGTCCCACATGCCTGACGTGGTCCAGTAGGGTAGGTTAGGTTAGGTAATATACTGTCACAATTAACTTAGCTCCAGGCGCGAGTAGTGACCCTCATAACAATATTATCCATTATCTCAAACAAAATCTTATGAGTCGTGGACAACTTTTAAGTGGCTTTTTACCTCATTTCTCCACAGTTACGAGAATGTTGTTTAGAAAGGTCGTTACCTTAAGTGTTTAAGTGCAGGTTTAATTTTAATATATACGCTGCTAGGCTATCGCGACCACCACGTCATTAACAATATTTATCTGTTAACGATTTAAATCACTTTATCGTGCGTTAATTGGTTATAAAAACGTAAATGCAATATATATTATACATAATAAGAAGGAAAACATGTGTTAAGTATCTTTATAAGGAAATCACATTATTAGGGTAGACGTCGGACACTGTACAGTATTAGGGATATTCTACTCAACTCGGCGTAGCTTCCACCATTTAAGAAGTTTTATGCAAATAGGTCTTATTAGACTTCCCTGTAAGTTTGTGGGGGATCCTGAATATTCATAATATGCTAATGCTTATATATATTATATTGTTTTAATCCTGTTAAGCTAGGTCACCTGAACTTGTAACAACATAAAGCAGGAACCAGGCCATAATGAATAGCCTAATACTCTAATAATAATAATAATAATAATAATAATAATAATAATAATAATAATAATAATCTGCTCTTAGGAATGTTAAAGTTGCTGATCACGTACTTAACAGAACCCAACGGACATAAGCAGAGCAATTTGAGTATTTTGGATTACGACAAACTCCGTAGTGCTATTTCGGAATTCAGAATTGGTCGTTATCTCATCTCTGACATAACCTAATGCACGGTGTCTACTGTAATTCAAACCTTAAGAGGGTATTTTTTTTACGATACTATACGCTACAGAATATTAAGTAATTCAATATAACAGTTTCATGGACGAAAATTCAAAATTATCAATCACGTGAATATCTGGGAAATAACAATGAGTGGACTGACGATATCGTTCAAATATTTACACCTTTTCCGCCCTGAATTACACCCTCAATGCAGTAGGTTTATCGTCACTTACCACTGATAGCCGTACCATAAGTTTTGACCCGAGTTCTGACGTAAAATGGTCAAGTTGTTTTTCCTGATTTTTCTTTAACAACCGACGGTATTCTATAAAGTCCACTAGTTCTCCAGTTACTATTCTATGTAATCTGTTTAAGGTGACACAAAATTCAGCGTGGTTGAGGAACAATATTCAAATGGTTACGTAGCACCTGTCACCAACCAAGAAAACATGAATAGCTAATGTTTAAATATGTACATCTAAATCATTTACTTTTACAGAAAAAACAAACAGACTTAACTTCATCTCACCTAACCAAAATAACACTATAATTATATATTAGGTTAAATTTGTGTTAATTTCTCTTAAATACATAATACTAGTGTTAAGCGCGTTCGTCAGTGGAAAGTTTTCAAGATTAGCCGCTTTTTTTTTACAGTTCCTTGAATATCTCTGGTAATTCTTATTTCTTGATCACTACGTTTAATTATTGAAGGATATTGACAGGGAGGTAGTATACAGACAATAAATAAAATAAACATAATGATAGAAAACTGGGAAAAAAAATAGCTTAATATTAGTCAAAATGTCGAGAGTGAGGCGGGATTGAAAAGCCATCAGTAACAAATATGTCTATACCAGCAAATAGGATAAGATACAGAAATGGATAAAAGAAAGAAGAAAATGAATAAAAAATGTTACAGAAAGCGTGCCAATAGCAGCAAGCGTGTTCCAACCAATGGCAGCAAATTGAACTTTTTAGAGGTACTTTGTCGACGAGCTAGTGTGAATAAACAGTGAAAAAGATCAAATGAAAGTCGCAAGATGGAAGTATTGCTCGAAGATTGTTCTGCCTTGTACTATTGCATTTATCGACTGTACTAATATATGGTTTTTGTACATTTTATCCACATTTCTGTACGTTTGTTTTCTTCTGATATTATTCATTATTCACTTCATTTATCCTATATGATTTGGAGGGAATTATTTATCGTGATATTGTTTTTATTATTTTATTAATTTCTATTATCCACCCCTATTTATCTTATTAAGGTCATAAAGGTTACTGATTACTGAGACAAGAGTAACAAAATAAGAATATTCCAAAATAAAAGAATGACAAGAGAAACAGGATAAAAGAGAGAGAGAGAGAGAGAGAGAGAGAGAGAGAGAGAGAGAGAGAGAGGTGTTGGTAGTGGTGGATGGTATTATTGGATCACACTCCCACACAAGTGATCTGGAAAGTCTAGAGTGGCCATCATTTCCCCTTCCTTCTTCTCTCCGCATCACCCCCTTTTTCCCTCCACACGCGTCACTATCATAGTTCTCTACTCCGTCCCCATTGTCACCAGCTGCCCCTTCCCCCTAGATCACCAGGAACCATTCGGCCCCAGTGGTGACCGTAACCCAGTTTGTAGCAATGTCTGACCCCCTGGACACTGAAGCAGCAGAGGTGTACAGTATCCCCCCCCCCCCTATCAACCTCCATTAGCAGCCCCAGTAAACAGTGATTTCACTCACAGAATATTTTCACTTTTTTCGAAATTAGTATTTTGCTTATATAAATAGTTTTGTCATTTTGTGCATTTAATAATAATTTCGACGCCTGCCTCCTACATGTAACAATCCAAGAATAAACCACTATAAATATAATGGCCTTAACATTATCCCGACTCTATTGTCCGTGCATTTTGACCCCTGAATCAACAGTCAGGTTTGATAGCCTAAATAAACTTCATGATATAACAAGTAAAAAGGGTTTCTTAGCTTGAGATGTACTAATTAGTTGCTAGAAGACATTTAGTGGATTGTAGATATCCTCGCCAGATTGAAATACGTCCACTTCCCAAGTTGCTTGTTGCCTGTACTCGTTTCCTTGCTCGTCTCCCGGCGTCCCTCTTGACCCGTGAAATGGCGGGAAACTTATATGTTATATCTAATTTTAATTGTCTTCAAAACTATAAAATATCATTGTTTTCATTCAATAAATGTATTAGTAAATTACGTATTGAATTTTTCATTACATTTGGTATTCATACAAAGTGTAGTTAAGCTGTTTAGAAGATAGAAATGTCCACTTCCCGCTGAAGTTTAGTCATCCTATTATACCTCCATGGGGACTAAAAGACTCAGAGGAGCAATAAAGATACATTAAGGGGTGGTTGTGATGGGAAAGGGCGTAGTGGTAGGGGTAAGTAGCTGGGGAAGTGGCTTTATTGATCAATGTCAATGGGTCGAATCTTAGCCAAGCTCCTGGTATAACGGAGGAAGGTACTGGTCGAACATGTTCAGTAACGTCTACTAACATGTTCAGTGACGTCTACTAACACGTTCAGTGACGTGTTTAGTGAAGTGCACTAACGTGTTTAGTGGTGTGTATTGACGTGTACTGATGTATTTAGTGACGGCTGATGGGTACTAACATGTTTAGTTGACTAGTACTAACGTGTTTAGCAACGCGAATTGACGTGTTCACTGAAGACCGTTCAGTGAGGTGTACTAACAAGGTTAGTGGTGCGTATACACTACCCAAATATGCTTTCCTCCGCGGTTGTTACACTAAGTTTAGTAATTAAACAAGTTTAACAGCAGTAAGATTAACGACCAGCTAGTTAAGAAAGTTCAACGAATGGTATGTTTAATATGGTGTAAGTCTAAAACAAAGACTAGAATCCTTTAGTTCAAGTCAAGGTATAGTATTCAATACATATTTTTGTAATAACAACCCTAATAATTCCATAGTTAAACGAATAAATAAATGGATAATCAAAGAAAATGAAGGATCAAACCACACATTACAAATTTAAGGTATTAACAGCCAAAATTGGTTGAGGCGTCATAAACTTTTAATATAAATTTACATGACGGACCTCTGAGACTTGGTAGATGGTCCAAGATAAGATCAGGAAGGAACAGAACTTTCCAAACTTCTGCTGTAAGAACTGGTCAGAGAACTTGCTTGAAGACATTAGTGTTTGAAACACAGAAATACGTACTGTATTAACAACAAGCAACGGAGGTATTTACTTAAATTTTACAGGTAGTATACTGCCAGTTTACCTGATATTCTAAACAGTTGAGTTGTCGGCCTGTGCAAAAATGACAGAACCTAACTGAAGTAATATTGTACGTGTCAGTATAACAAAAATAAACCACTAACAAAACCATCATAATAAGGCCCGGTGCTAAATGACAAGATAATTATGATTTTAAAGGGAATAGAACTACTGTAGTGCCAAGTCTTGAATACAGTACAGTATATCACTCGGTGGTTCATCCCCACCACAGCTCACGGTACTTGCCGTATGTTAAGTAAATTCGGTAATAGTTCACAAAAGCGCAAGTTATTATGTGCCACTAAAGGAAAAAAATCTATAGCAGAAATCTTTTCATACTTATTGAATGTTGTCAAAAGTTTGGAGGAATTGCAACTCCAAGTTTAGCAAAAAAAATATCGATATATTTTCCTAAAGTGGCTCATAATAACACTCTTGTATAGTTTTACCAAAGAAAATGCCCAAATGACCTAGGCATAGGGCCATTTGGGCTACCAGTTTTAAGCATTGGGCCTTACTATAGACATTTTTATCCTGTCATTCTCTATTATTTTATTGTACTATATTATTTACACTTAATTCTGGTAAGCAAGTGTTACCATTATAGATATACCACAGACTACAGTTGACTTGGCGCATTACCACAACCTTCATATTGTAATTTATTAATTATAGTTGTCATTTTGATCCAAATATATAATTAATATGATTCTTTTTTGTCTTTGAGCCAATGTCTCCAGTATACATCATTCCAATTTAGACAATATCACATTATAAATATCCTCTACATTACGGTATACTGTATCTTTACTTGACAATAACATAGAAAGAGTAACCTAACCTCACAAATATTTACCAAGATGTTTTTCCTCCAATAGTGAAGAAAAAAATTATGTACAGTAAAGTAGTCCTCGTGTTTAAGATACTCATTGTGTTGATATATGTATAGTATTCTTGTACCAATACTCTGTCATCAGGAAACTGTAATTGTAGTACAGACAGTCAAAACACTACAAATGACTTGCCTTGTGTTACAGGTACAATATGTCGATGTTTCGTCCAGGAGTATTCAAGGGCAAAGTGGCTATGGTGACAGGAGGGGCTACAGGCATAGGGAAGGCCATCACAGAGGAACTACTCACTCTTGGTAACTTGTTTTGTCAGTTATTTACAAATAGGGATTGTTAATGTGGACCTATGATGTGTAACAACATTAGGATGCATGCCCAGTATTTGCCAACAGTGCGTGACAGAGACGTGACCGATCACCCGGGCGGCTAGCGAGCCAATCTTTTGGTGAAGAAGATAAATGAAAAGGAAAAGTAATCAGAGACGTGACCGATTGCCCAAGCGGCTAACAAGTCGATCAGTGGCGAAGAGGATAAAAGTTAAAGTTGATGTAATTTATGATTTTATACTGTAACTGCACATTAGTTCTAAGTTAATGCATTTAAACCTGTCAACTTCACATATGCTGGAATCTCAATATGTAATCTTTGCAGTGTGTTGGAATGAGACCAAATTCCCAAGGCCATTATTCTCAAACTGCATCATAAAATAAAACTTCAATCTGACCTGTATACCTCCCATAAGTACTGCATTGTTATTTATTCAGCGAGACTGTTAATCAAACTATTGGGGTGTTTTACAGTCCATTGAACAGCATGAATGTGTAAGGCTAAAAGCAGTAAGGTAGGTAGGGAGTACACTAGCTGCCATCTCCCTTCCTCACCGTCCCCGGCTTTACGCACAGCCAATGTTAAAATTATATATAGTATACCATTTCTGTAATAAATACTGTTTCACTGAATAAAATAAAGCATTTTTGGGGTTAACTAAACATTAAGAGCTTTATTTTGTGTATACTTGTACTATATGGTTCTGTACAGTATTTACATTGTAGTCAAGTGTATAAGTACTTCTGTATATATTGACAATGATTTAAAGCAGTCAAGTTACCAAGCTATATTAATATAATGGTCAAATTAATTAAGCCTTCAATATCTTCATTAAACTCATACAACACTTTATTTTATTCAGGGAAACTATTAATTAAATAAATACCATAGTGTTAACTTTACAGAGCATATATTACAGGTACCATACAGTGATCCCTAGGTTAACGAGTGCCTCAGTTAACGAAATTTCGGTTAACGAATTACCTTCCATAAGATTCTTCACTTCGGTTAACGAGCAAACCCTCGGTTAACGAATTCCTTACGAATTTTTCCCAACATGTTTTCGCCTGCATTTGGCTGCCCACCTGCTGTAGTATTAGTCCGCCAATAAAATAATCGGTTTTAGGGCTTAAATTCCTTACCATTTTAGTAAATACAGGTATCAAGAAGGTTGTACTATTCAATAATTTTAAAAGTTTTATATTAAATTTTTTAGTAATTTTAACAATTATTGAACATAATTAAAGTACAGGAAGCTAGTTTTTGCACGCCAAGCAGCCACTCATCACACCAAGCTTGGCATCAGTTTGTTTACCAGTTCAGAGGAAGGAACATCTTGTTTGAGACTCTTCAACATAAACACTTATTTTCTGTGTTTCCAGTCAAATTATTGGTCATTTTGAAATTTATTTTACATTTTGACAATATATAATGCAATGCAGTGTTGATTTAAAGAAAATAATCTTGAATTACACCAAGAGAACTAAAATTTTATGGGTGAAATGGCACCATGGGGTGACTTCTCTTCCACCCCAATGCCTTCTCTTCTCCCTTTTCCTCCACCCCCATTCTAATTCCCATCATCATCATCCAGGAGCCTTCTACATACACACCTCAAAGTAAGTGTACTTTTCTACCTTTTTTGTTGAATTTAGGCAATTTTCGGTGAGCTGGAACCAATTACCCAAAAACCCATTGAAACAATGGTTTTGGTTAACGAATTTTTCGGTTAATGAGCAACCTTCTAGAACGGATTGTGCTCGTTAACCGAGGGACCACTGTATGTAATTTTCGGTGAGCTGGAACCAATTACCCAAAAACCCATTGAAACAATGGTTTCGGTTAACGAATTTTTTGGTTAACGAGCAACCTTCTGGAACGGATTGTGCTTGTTAACCTAGGGACCACTGTATTTCCAAGTACAGTACAGTGTATTAAAAGTTCCACAAGTTGTCAGATTTTTAGTAGTACTGTACAGTTTCATTGTACATAAACACCAATATCATGGCAGAATTTATCATGCTTATAATATACAGTGAACTTTTGAATCTGAATATATTCCATTCAAATTCAAAAGTTCACCGACAATCCCCTGCCAGGTTTATGTTTCTGTTGCCAACACATTGATGGCGCTCTTTTCTTCAACTCGTGGAGACGGCATCACATGAACATTATATGAGAGTGGTATTGTATGTTCTAGTTGTGCTTAATACAATACTGTACTGTATATACAAACCTACAATTTAAATCATTGCATATCATTTACTGAAATGTCAATATTTTCAGGTTGTAAAGTTGTAATTGCATCTCGAAGAGAGGAGAAGTTAAAGGAGGCAGTTCAGGAGCTGTGTCCAAATAACGGTAGACTTGTTGCTAAAGTTTGCAACATCAGAAAAGAAGACCAAGTCAAGTAAGTGAGGAAATTATAATAAAACCTTCATGATTAATTCAGTATCTTATAACCATTAACAGCTAAAACTGTGTTGTTTTCAGGTACTGTAGTTGTATTTACCCTACTACCATAATTTGGCAGTTCAATGTCATGAATAAGCACCCTGTAATATCAGAGGCACATGATTACTTGATGGCAGCTGTTGGACAAAATCAGAACTGAGATTAATATAACTTAACTTTGATCAAATTCTTTAGTGCCTGATTATCTACAAAAACCTAATATGATGTGCTGAAGCTCATGTAATCTACAGGAACCTGATCACCTCAACACTAAGTGAAATGGGAAGGATAGACTATCTTGTAAACAATGGTGGTGGTCAGTTTCCATCTCCTGTAGCCAACATGAGCCTCAAGGGTTGGAATGCTGTGATTGACACCAACCTCACTGGCACCTTCTTAATGTGTAGGGAAGGTGAGTTTCCTTATCAGTATTTCCAAGGAATGTAAGATGTATGATTGTTCTTTAGCTTGACACCCTCCTCCAGGCAGAGGTTAATATGCCAGCTGTGTTGAGAGATCTATGAGTATAACAGTAGACTTACCCCTTAAGGAAGATGGTTTCTGAAGGGAGGGGTGAGGAGGTAGTCTCCTGCACTTAACCCCCAAAATGGCTCGTGTATTACCTCAAATGGAACCATTCAGTTATAACATTAATAACCACACAGGAAACAAGAATACATATACAGTACATGGATCATGTGCCCCTACAGTTATTTTTAAATATATATATATATATATATATATAATCTTTGTCTGTCTTCTGCTAGTTCATGAACAATGGATGAAAGACAATGGTGGTGTAATTGTCAACATCATTGCTGACATGTTCCGTGGCATTCCAATGATGGCTCATACAGGAGCAGCTCGTGCAGGTGTTGATAACTTGACCAAGGTAAAGTACTGTATTTTGTTGTGTGTACAGTATTTGTTTGAAGTCATCCCAAAATGCATCTAATAATATGGTAAAGTATTGTATTATGTAACATAGTGAATTCATGTGATTTATTAACCATAAATCACTCCAAATTCTCTTATTCAACTTGACTCAGAGTCTTGCAGTGGAATGGGCCTCCAGTGGGGTGCGTGTAAATGCAGTGGCACCAGGAGGCTCCATATACTCTCCTACAGCAGCTGCAAATTATGAAGATAAAAACATCTTCAGCAAAGCACGTGAAGGAATTCCAACAAAAAGACTTGGAACAACACAGGAGGTTTGTAGTTTAAAGCAAATTGTAGCCATAGAATGCTACAGTACTGTACTGTATATGTTATCAAGATACAGTATTCTACTCTTTTGTCCATGTACTCATGCATTTCCACAAACCTCTTATGACAGTGTCCATCTGCAGAAACTGTCCCAAACATTTCAGTCACTGTCCATCTCCACACCTTTTAATAAATGCAGTTGTATTGACAGAGTCTGAAGAAATGTTTAAAATATTTGATGGATAACTGTTCCCGAATCCCAAAAGCTTAAGTTGTTTATACAGTAGCTACAGCATAATAAATTTACAATGACTATCAAGTTTGAGGAAGTTCAGTAGGTATTACTCTATGATGTAGAACTAGTTATGGATATTCGTTAAGTTTTTATTGTGTAACTTCCTTATCACTCTTTTTCTATACGTAGGTGTCAAGTGCAGTATGTTTCTTGCTGTCCCCCGGAGCCTCATTTATCACGGGTGAAACATTGAAGGTTGATGGAGGTGGCAGTCTCTACTCCTATCTCATGTGGCAAATTCCAGGTGAGTTAATACATAGATAGTATTGTTGTTTTCTGCTTGATTATTTTGTACAGCACTTGGAAGTTAAAGGGTATTTTGTGCGTGAACATGCAATATTTGCACGTTTGTTAGAGAGGTAAAGTAGGCTACCCAAATTTTGTTTATTATACTTAAAATACTGTATATGGCCTCTCTCTCAAGGATAAAAAGTTGGTTCCAACACATTATTCTTCAAATAGTACAGCTTCGAAAGATCTCAACTCATTCCATTAGACGACTTGCTTTCATGGGACTATTCCATGAAATCTATCCGGAGGTAAATTTGCTTGCAATATCCAACATTACCCACCATTCCTGTGATGGGTTTTGCTTCCACACGTCATTTCGTATCAAAGTTACACATTAAATTGATAACTGCTTTTATCACACCTTTCTGACCTACAGTAATTAGATTTGGTTTCCTCTCCTTCAGCTGTCCCCAGCTATTTACATTCTTTTTTGGGTCAGAGGATGTGTAAGGTTAAGGTTAATGTGTTTATCCCCCGATTTTATAAGTTGTATGTTGGGTAGTGTTTTGGATATGGATTTTCCCTGTACAGTTGGCCCTTAACATACGCGGGGGTTATGTAACAGATACACCCATGGATGTTAAAAATCCGCTATGCGTGCGTGCGAGGTGTCCTGTGCCGCGCGCGGGTTGAATGGCACGCGTTTTGAATGTACAGAATATTCCTCCGGCGGAGCAATCCGCGTATTTGCAAATCCGTGTATGCTAAACCCGCTTATGTTAAGGGCCGACTGTACAGTACTTAGTTTGATACCGTTTTATCATTTGGTACTTTACTGTTGTTCAACCGTGTCTGAGACCTGCTAGGTTGTCTTTGCTGGAGGAAATATGAATTCCTCATTCTTGATATCTCAGGATCTTCAAGCTGTGGTTCACTTTCTAGATTACTCAGGCAGGGTTAAGGAACTCTGAACTGTATACTAGTGGAGATGTTGTCCCTCTATGCCAGGTAAGGATGATGTGTTCTCCCGTAGGAGGTGCATCACTTGGAGATTTTTTTTTTTTTTTTTACCTCCTCCCTTTCATCTTAGTTGGTTTTGGTATTCTTATGACATTTGCAACAGATTTTAAGTTATGTGGGATTCATCCAGAAGTAATTGGATGCTATATAATAATCATGCCTCTGAAGTCTGCTTGTTGAAAATGTGTAGAACCCAAGTTGAACAATAAACTTAATGTGACCCTTATTTCCCCCCAAAATATTGGTTACATTGACCAATATCCTGCGAGATGACAAGGTGTTATTTGAGGATAATACGTAAGAATTTTGATACCTTTAGCATATGACAGTTGGACATCATAATATCCACCCACCAATCACAGTAGAAAGCAAAAGCTCAGCTATTAAGTGTGGGTAAAGTATAAGTCATTAGCTTTGGATTGTAATTTATTGAATACCAAATGATTTAATCTGTATATGATTGCATTGTTACAAAACAGATAAATGAAAAAAGACAAGTACTGTACTGTTTAAAGTTATGAAAATTTTTTAATTAGTAATACTGTATTAGACAGCTTTATGAAGCTGCTCAAATACCTCATTCCATTTAATTATATCCTTACCCATATTCACACCTTCCTGGCAAGTACGACCTTGCGAGATTATTCAATCAACATTCCAGGAAGTTTCATGTTGCATTTAAATCAGGTTTCATCTGAATGGTAAATAACACCTGGTCTTAAAAATTTTACACATCCTGTATGGTTGAGTGTACCAAGTAGGTTATAACTACCAAGGTAAGAGAAAATGCTTAATATGTTTTCGTCGCAATATACCAGTAAAAGAATCATTCAATACATAAAACTATGTAATTTCCTTCATTTGTTCAGATTGCAGAATCATTGTATATAATGGGTGACTTTTCTGATACATGCATTTTGTAATATCTCATTCAGTGTTTGTTCTTTTCCATTACCCTGCAAATCACGTGCCAAGTAATTTGCTTTATAAAATATATTAAATATATAAAATTTGATATTATAAGCTTACAGAATTTTCACATGCACTGCTCTATACATTTTCCCTCATTCCCCGAACAGAACACGATAAGTTACCTGCATATTCCTGGACCTATAAACCTTCAGAGGAAGACAATGGCGATGATGTTCCACCAAAGAGCAAACTATAATGTATTGAAGTGGGTCTACAGATAATTGATGCTCCTCACCTCTAGATTATATTTGCATTAATTGTCACTATTTTGTAATATTCATATAAACAAGTAAGGGATACCACAATTAATTACTGGTTGTCTTATTTACCTCTTGGAGTACTGTACAAAGTAATTGCATTGTCATACATACACAGCACACACCTGTCATGGACATTTGGCTGAAGAACTTGTTTAATTTACCAAGTCTGAGATACTCCACCTCTTCTTTTTATTTTGAAAACTAGAAATATAAAACAAGGCTTTCATGTTGAGAAGTACAGTAGTCGGAAGATTTTACGAGAGGAATAATATCGTAGCTATGAAAGATATTGTGCACTAGTATAAATTACTGCACTTTGGACTTAATTTCTGTATTTAGTAGAATGTCAGAAACCTGTATGCTCAAGTGAGAAGAAATGGTCAAAATATGGTAAGGAAAGTTTGCAGATAAAATGAATGTCCAGAATCTGTCAAAAGAATTAATAATTTTTTTTACTTTAACAAATCACGCCTTTAAGATTTGCTAATATTGTTATTTCAGTTGTAATTTGTAAGTCCACATCACGAATAAATTATTTTTAACAAGACATTCCATGGCTAACAATGCATTTTGGTGTTCCCAGGTCATTGTATAGTACAAGTAGTTTGTGAAAAGAAATTCTAGTAACACAAAGTTCGAAAATTTTACAATAAAAATTAAACCCTATATTTTGTTAAAAGCAGCTATATCAACAGATTGCACAGTATCTTCAAAGTCGCATATTTTTACTGTAAGATCATCAACAGAGACTTTCTCGTCTTCTACAGTACACAAAATGGATAATTTATTAATGCCAAAAGCTAGAGGAGCTAGTTTGCTAGCACCCCACTGGAGACCATCCATCCTAATTGAACGTACAAGTTCCTCCAGTGTACTCATGTTGGTCTCATCATCCCATGGCTTCACATCCAACATTATTGAAGACTTAGCAATAGGACCAGGTTTCTTTGATTTCTTCTCAGCATAAGCTCTCAGCCGTTCTTCTCGAACTCGTGCTGCTTCTCGATCATCCCCTTCATCAGAAGAACCAAACAAATCAATCTCCTCGTCGTCGTCGTCGTCATCATTATCATCATCATCATCCGTATCTTTCGATTCATCATTCATTGATTTGGAAGTAATCTCTTTATCTTCCAAAAGTGAATCATTTGAAATTTTTGTCACTTCATCTTCATTGGTTATATTTTCAGGTAAAGCAGTGATAGTTGTAAGATTTTCTCCTGTTAGCCTGAGCTCAACACCTAATGATTTAATATGGTTGTACCATCTAAGAACATGGCAAAAGTCGTCTTCAGGGGCTTTAGCCAAAGAAGAAAACACCTCAGCGTCCACCTGTGATGGGGTGTAGCCGCGGATGTAACTACGATCTTGTAGGAAGTCATTCAAAGTCTGAAGTCCACAGGCTGTAGTCTTGTCACCAAAAAACGCCATTAACCTGAAAAATTTTTACACTCGAGTATTTCAGGGTATATTATGTTATGTGCACCATTAATGTACTCAGGCAGGACTCCAAAAGAATGATTGTACTCTATATTCTTTAACACGAAGTGAAAAGGATTAGCGATCCTAAAATCCCACATTGTGACCAAGCCTGGACCAAGCAACTTGTGCATTTGCACACCAAGTGTGTGGGTAAAAAAACCCAGGTTAACCCTTGATTTTAGTGGCGCAGACTAATCATTGATTACCTGCAGTGTTTTTTGTCCCATCAACTTTAACCTTTGACTTCATTAACCAACTGAGCTGTCATCCCACTGTGCTAGACGGTGTTTTTCTTTGTTCACCATAACACATGTCCACAATCATTTTCATATTCAATATCAAGGTTATTTTTTACTTTTGCTAAAACAAGAAATACTAGAAATTATGATGTGAAAAGCAAGTTATTAGAGTACTGTTAACTCTGCCAATCAAGGATTTATCCTGTTACATCGTTTCCAAAATAAATTTGTTTACCGAGTACTTATATCATTATTTTACATTTCCTTTAAATTTCCCAGAATATCCAGCTTCTTACATGCATCACACCTAACTTGTAACTAATGTCATCATTACTCATTGAGAGGAGGGAGGGTAACCAATTTGTTTGGTTCAAGCTCAGTCATAAAATGCTTGAAATATAGTGCTGGACATTCATAAAGGTTCTCTCTCTTGCCTAAATGTTCCAGTACAAGCTTGTGAAGTAGGTGCCCCTTGTAGTACTGTAGTCTCAATCCACCGAGTCATCGACATATCGAGACCAAGCAGAACTTCAAATGAGGCAGTATTGCTTTTGCAAAGCCTTAAGAGACAGACCATACATGTACAGTATGTATTAAGATGTACAGTACACATTTATTTTACTAATTTGTTGGCAAGATACAGCTTCTCAGTCATTTAAGAACTTCAGTGTGTTGTCAAACAACCAAATCTATCAACATCTAGTTTCACTTGGGGAAATGTCTTCATTGGGCTGGGACGTAAGTTTCCTTACATCAGTATTAGTACAACTAAGGCATATTTTCTAAAAATTTGCAGCATTAAGTCTCATCACCCATTCCTGTAATGCTTCTCAGACTTAAGATTCTCTACTTGTCTAAATAACTTGGCTACATCTGTATAATAAAAAATAAAAAAAATTATGGAGGCGTACATCACCAGTCATATTATTTATGATAATCAAACTTCATTCCTAGCACACTGCCTTTCACAGGTACACAAACTGGTCTTGTGGCATTGTTTACATGTAGGAAGTCAGTTGTACACAATACTTTACTGTATACTATTTTCCTGTACAGGCACTTCTCGACTTATGACCACCCGGACATACGACCGCCGCAGTCGTATTAAATATTTTTCAAATTACGTATTTTAGAGTCCCGACGTTAGTGATCGAGCTGTGTACTGACAAAATTTTCGTTTGTAATTCCCTTTAAAATGGCTGGCAAGCGTAAAAGTGAGAGTTCTCGAGGTGCTGAGAAGAAAAAGAGACACCTATTTTAGATTTTCTATGTATTATTTTTGCATTTTCAACTTACGACCTGGTCGTCTGTTCCTAACCCAGTCGTAAGTCGAGTATTCTATGACCTTTAATTTTTTTGGCAATCAGTGCGATAGTTTAAATATTAATATTTCTTTCAAAGGATAATCTTGTGTAATCACCACCATTTTATGGCCATTTTCCACTCTTGTGTGGGTTAGCTGTGGGAGCAATATTTTTGTTTTATGATATTTAACAAGTAAATAATATCACAATGGGTTGAGAAAGTTTGAGAGCTCATGATAAACACAGACACTCAAGAAAATGGAGAGAGAAGATACTGAGGATCTGGCTAAGGAGTTTAGCAGCTTCCAGGAAATACAAATCACGCAACCAACGCTCCCATAACTTGTGCCATTAAACGTCACCACAGCCATAAATAAGAGACGGCTAAACATGGAAATGAAAACCCAATGATATTTTGAGGAAAAGCTGGCAAATATTTCAGCACTAAAACCAAAATAAGACTTGGGTAACTTAAGCTCAAGGTCAAAGCAGTTTCTTGTATACAAAATACTGTAATATATCAGTTTTAAGAAAGAATGATATGACGAATATGACAGCACCTCATTCAGTTTTATTTATAATGTAAAAATAATTAATTCCCATTTAACACATGAACCATCAGAGTAATGTAATGTAAAATGTCATTGCAAAATTCACCTTTACTGTCGTTCACAAAGACTGCAGCATAAACAAACACCAGACCTAAGTTTTGATACAGACCCAAGTAATGTTGTAAAATGATCAATACTGTACTATATATCAATCTTGCTCCTCTACTCTCTGCACAGCCCGATACTTTTGGAGAGATGACATCTTTTAAAACAAGGCAGACATGAACCAATTAAATATACACATTCAACAAGACAATATTTGCATCCTCACTAGTAAAAAATAAATTATCTGGCACTTCAACTTAATTTGTCTGATTCTGCAAAATTTTTATCTTTATACCTCAGGGTGATATACTCACATAACTTCAATACCTATTTGACAAAGCAAAAAAAAATTTTGGAATTTGGCAGGGCCTTGGTCACAATCCACCTACATGTCTTGCACATCAGTTTGCCTGTTCATCATTAATATTAACTGCCTTAACTACTACTACCGTATGCTGTATATTTAGATGCAGACTGCTTGTGCATGAAAGTAAAGGGTCTCATAAAAACTCTAGCAAAACTTCAAAGGTGTTTTTGAAGGCATTCAAGTACAGTATAGTGTTCATACTCAACTTGAGAAAAAAGTCTTAAGTACTGTACTCATCTCCAAGCACCATTAAAAATGACAGTATTTATTCACAGAGGGCTTTTATGAATTATGATACAGTATTTAGGAAGTTGCTGAACAAGGAATGATGTATGCACCTAGTGGTGGTGTGAGTGTGAAACTTGGCAGGTAAAGAGGCCAACATACTGTACACAGGTTTGAATGAGCTGAAATGAGAAAGGCGAGGTGGATATGCAATGTGACAAAGATAAGAAGCCCTGTTCAGTGATAAGAGGGTAACAGGGTATTGAGAATACTGTAATGACAAAACCTTGCATGGAGAAAGTTTGGGTATGTGGAAAGAAGAGGAGACCAATCGAGTCAAGAGAGGAGTTTAGATGTGGTGAGAAGAGCAGCTAGAGGTAGGTTAAGAATGTGTGAATGACATGGAGAGACACTAAGAAATTATATAGTCAAGAACCTGATAAAGAGGCTACAAAAGACAGCTCAATGGGGAGAGCTGCCATCATGTAACTGCAGCAAACATACACAAGTGTGGATAATGGCAGTAAAATACAGATACCAAAGAAGTAATTTTGTTATGGTTGAATTGCCATACTACCATGATTACATCCATTGGACCAAACATTGAATATAAAATGGAATTTTTTTAAAGAACGGAGTAAAATTTGCAATGTCAAGCACACATTTTCATTGCAGCTAGAGGGACCAGCGACCTATTTTCATGGACCTTGTGCACTAGAAATAAGTGAAGGGACATACTAGTTTGCTATGTGTGGAAATGGTTTTGCCGTGGTTTTATGAACCAATTAGTCATTGCAAATTATTATGCTTCCTTTGTCTAAAATTAAGCCTTGTACTATATCAACATCACCACTGGATATGCCATTTCCTTGTACAGTATAAATATCTTCATTGTGGAATGGACAGTACTCCACAACTGAAAACAAAAGCAAGCTTCATATTAAAGAACTCAAAAGCAAAAGCTACATACCCTCTGTACCAGGATGAAGAGGTCATGCCTTCCTGCTTAATGGCCTCATATTGAACATATTAACAGTATTATCTTCAAGAATCTTTAGCCACAGGTTTTACCTCGTTTAGTAGAACCAGAGAACATGCGGTCTTCTTGAGTAAGGCTGCACAGCAAATTCAACCAAAGACCCTGAAACTTCAATCAGTGTAACAGCTACATACATTATTTTTATTTGCAAAAGCACCTTGTGCTCACCCTTGCTTAATATCTCATTCCAATGAGGTGAACCAAAAGCATACAGCCAAAAATTATTTAAATAAAATACTGTTCCATTACTCTGGTGATTGCAATTTCAAGTACTTGTTGACACTATATACAGAACTCAAATATATGATGGTCTACAACTAACCTGTTTGGATCACTTAAAATGATAGGTTCTTATCTGCAGTTAACAGAGCTCAGCAGCACTAACTTAATTCAGCTTCCGAATCTAAATTCCATGTGTCATTCATGGGTTAAAAATTGTGCCCCCATAAAAAATAGTTCCAGCAACAGGTCACACTAGATTATGGGGACAATGAAAGCTGCATTGTGAGGACCTGAAGCCATATCAGTGCAAGCTAAGAGTAGATTTCACACTTCCTGACAGCAAGATAGCAAAGGCAACATTCTCTCATGCCACTGCCAGGTACAAGGGTCAAACACTAACTCATTGGATGTGACATGCAAAATAAAACATTTCACACCAAAAGCATACAGGGTTCATCTCAGAAGGCAAGGTTATTTTCTTTTGTTGGTATTTTCCTTCAATACAAAATAAATTCTGAAACAGGTTTAAATCTAAGTTTTCTCAATTATCCATTCTTACACCAAAGTTTCTCATGAAATCTAGGCCACAGTGGTAAGCCTGATCTTAAATCAAAGTATTGAAGGGCATGTATACTGTACAGGTATCCTTTAACTTTGGTTCAATTTAGCATGTGATTTTTTGACACTTTCTCGATTGATGTTAGGTAAACAAAGTTTAATGATCGCTCGACTTCTATAGGGAAGGGGAAAAAACTGGGGAGGAGCTGGCCTGTTACATATAATAAAACCATGAAGTTGTCAAGATTATAATACTCTAATGTGGCTTGGAAATAAAGAATATAATTTAAACTATAAAAAACAAAAATGAAGATTATGTGTGTGAAGTGAATGTAGTTGTGGAGGCAGTGGGCTATAACTGATGAGCCCAGCTGTGCTCCTCACTTCCTCTCCCAATGTGAGGTCATGGCACACCATTGCAGCAACCACACATCGGAGTGAACTGGGACTGCCTGGCTGAACTGTTTTGTGTTGCCCAGAGGATGGTGTGTGTGTGTGTGGATCAATTATTGTATATGATGCTATTTTTTTTTGATGTATGCAATTTGAAATTTGTTTGAATTAGGCTGACCAAATCATTTAACTCTGAATCACACTGTTAATACAGTATGTGTGTTTGGTGTTAGAAGTCAATAGATTAACTTTGAAACCTTTATAACAAACTATTATTATCAGGGAATACGGTACTGTACTTCGTGTTTATCATCCTGCCACTTGACCAGTTTGCCATTCGTGCCTTGCCGTTATCTATCGTTTAGCGATAATTTCACTCAACGTTGGGGATACCTGTACAATTTTTATATCCAATGTTATGCACTATCAACAAATATTCAGTAAATGAATTGTGCACAAAACTGGAAACTGTTTAAACTTAGATAAAAGGCTTTCCTGCAAACCAATTTGATATTCAAAATTTGTATCACTTCACTGCACATTTATTCATACACAACCACCAGTGTACAAAAAAATCAGTTTTAATATACACTTGCACAGAAAGCACAGGAACCTCAAAATTCTTCAATATACTTGGTCTGAATACAAATTGTGAGTACTCAATCTTTTAAATAAACCTTGATTAATTAATCTTTTTTATGTTAACACTGTACATGTACAGTGCTGTAGTGTACTGTACTTTACTGCCTGATGCTGATATCCTGCTAAAGCAGACATTTTGATGGATTTCCATAAATTCATTTCCATCCTCTGGACAACTGTAGTTCCGACACTCCAATTTTTAAATGTCGGCAATTTCAGAGGTTTCATTACCTCATTTTAATTATAAAAATTTATATTTTCAGTACGTATTCATGTTAACATTAGTATATTTGAACAAGTACAAAAACCTTGCCTTCTCAGTCAGATACATTTCATAATACAACACCCTGATGATTACGAAAGGAGTGGTATTTGCAAAATAAAACTGCCAAGTAAATCAAGAATTTTATTATTAAATAAGCACGAGTAAGAAGGGTCCCAGCACTAGTCCCAATGGGTGAATGGCACTGGCTAAGGGTATAAGTCGCAGGCGAGCTAAGCCACATAGTGCCATTTTACATCACCTCATGGAATTAGAAATGTCCCTTCCTCCCCTTTGTCTAGTTCTCACGTCTTACTCGTAGATCCAGGTCTCGTTGGCCTGTGTCCAGCTAACAAGTTCCCCAGGACTGAACCACAGAGCAATCTCCTTGTTTGCAGATTCAACTGAGTCCGAGCCATGGATGATGTTCCTGAGGAAACGAAAACTTTTATACAACTGAAGGACTTTCATATGTATGGTTTATTCATATCCACCAAACTACTTTACTAAATTGCCAATCAGCATAGGTTGCATACATAAACCCCAGAAAAGGGTACAATGAGATGCCCTCAAAAGAAACTCAATCAACATCCAGCATCAAAGGTTACCCTACCTGCCAACTTCAATGCAGAAGTCTCCCCGGATGGTACCAGGCTTGGAATCGGCTGGGCGGGTCTCTCCCATCATGTTGCGGGCAGTCGTGACAACACCAGTACCTTCCCAGCACATAGCTACCAGAGGGCCAGATGACATGTACTTGCACAAGCCTGGGTAGAAAGGCTTGTCGGCAAGATCGGCATAGTGTTTCTTCAGGTGGTCTTCTGTTGCCTGTCGATAAACTTTTTCAATTGTACATCAACATTCTTCAGTCATGTTTATCCTAGGTATTAATTTCTTTCTCCATACCAAGTGTCCAATGTATTGTGCCCATTTCCAGAAGCAAATAGCTGAACAACTCAACATGACATTACTGAACTCCACACTGTTCAACCATAATACAGTAGTGGCCAAACATGGGCTAAAATTAACAAGTACAGTATATCAAGAGAAACGCAGTGCACTATAGCTCTACTTAAAATGACCTTTATTAACACGCAGTCATACAGCTGGCATCTTCAACTAGGATTGCCAAGTTTGATACTGAAAAAATCAAAATAATGTTGACTTTCTATTGTCCAAAAGTTTTAACAATATATCTTGGTAGCTAGTGACACTATGTGAAACTAGTTTCATAGTAAATATACAAAATACATATACAGTATACTAACACTAATATGAACTCACGATTTAGTACTGTATGCAAGAAATTACAAAGACAATCATATATTTTGTTTAAAGACAGGCTTAATGCTGAACACCTATTTTTGTTGTAACTTCTTCATGTACCACACCTAGTTTGAGACGTAGACGTGGGTTGCAATGAGAAGTTTTCAATCTAGGCATTAAACTTTTTAAAAACCAGATTACTGAATCATCAGAAATCTAGCCGATGAATGCCACACGTTTTTTCAGTCCTGAATTTATGCATCTGACTGGCAACAGGAAGAATTTGAGCACATACAGAACAGAAAAGGTTAACCATTTATTCATGTGCAATAATTATAGAAACTCCTTTTGTTTTTTGTCGGAGCCCCTAAAAGCCTAAATATTATCTTCTTGTACAGTAATTCGTACTTCTCAGAAAATCTGTTTGTGCAACTATGGACCCATTGAGGGATCTACAAGTTTATCTATACATATCCACTAATAAAATTTCCCTTGTGAATAATGCCAAGTTTGATGGAAGTGGGCATGTTGCTACCAAGAAGTCATGGTATGACCTGACTTTGTCCACCATGGTATTAATTCCTTCAAAGTATGCAGTGCAGTTTCACGATAATTCTCAACCCAAAAAGAAGTTTTTTACAAACTATTAGGTACACCCTGAGTTTCTTGATACATTTACAGTACAACACCTTGACAAATAGGAACTAGTGAAGGTGAATCTTGTGTATACAGTACTTCTTAACAAGACCCCATTCCCAGTAAAATTGTACAAAACCCAATTTCTTTAGATCAGAGGATAAAATATCAATACAGTATATATGTCCAATTTTGTTTGTATCTACTGATAGGCAATACAGGTAGACCCTAAAATCTGGAACCCTTGGGACCAAGAATGAACCAGTTTCCTGGTGCCAGGTAATTCATTTTGCATTACCATACTGGTTGTCTCTCAACACGAAGTGATCTACCATTTACCTGAACAGATGGTTGTGTACCTACATTAACTTCAGGACTTTTCTCAGACTTTCCTCCACTGAAGATAAAGCTTTCTTGCCTCAACAAAAGGAAAAAAGTGAACGAGTAAAATATTTTGTAATACATGTACAGTATAATAGTAAAACAAATATATAAAAAATCTGAACTTCTGTGATTGTTTGTTTTTATCTCCACTCCAGCATTACTTTTTCTTATCAATTTGCCAGCAGTCTAGGAGGTTGATCACTTCAATGTTACTTTGTCCAGTATTAACACAGGAGGATACCGGAGTACCCAGAGGAAACCCGTCATGTTGGTTAGGGTCACAGGATATAATAGCGAGATACTGTACACACACTGATCCTTGGCAGCCAGTTCCAACCAGGTAACAAACCAACATCAGCAGTGTAAAGCCAATAGTACTTGTGCTCTTCAAATTCCTTAAAACCACCACATTTCAAAAATCTATTATAACTCATTATGATCTGGCCTTTAATAGAACAAAATAAGCAATGCCCAAGAACACTTTCTGGAGTTTACTTTAAAATCAATGCACTAATATTTGTTTATGTTTTAATCTGTCCCGACTCCTCTCTAATGTTACAGTGAGAAGGTTAACAGTGCATGTTATGGGACTCTTTAGGAAAACAATTGTGAAGTCTTATGTATTTGTTACTTTCAAATGGCAATAAAAGAGGAAAATGTAACTTTTTTACACCTGACTCTCGCTTTATGCTATGGTTACGTTCTGCGACAACACCGCATCATGGGAATCTGCACATAGCGAATACTTAATTTTAAGGGGAAAATTAGGGTATGTTCCACAACTACCGGGTACTAAAAGTCAACAGTAATGCTATAAAAGTTGAGGAAAATTCATTTCAAACTTGAATGTGGGTTAGAAATAAAGAAAATATAAAACTATTAACGAGGACATGAAGAGCATGGGTGTTTGTGTGGTAAGTGACTCACCACTCCAGTCATGTCCTGTTATCTCACACAGCACAGTATGAGATAACAGAACATGACTAATGTGGCTTGGAAATATAATATAAAACTAGTGCATCGTATCTTCTACATAACGTATAATAGGGAACCTTTTCGGCATAAAATGAGTTGTGGGTAGAAATAGGGTTGCTCTTATAAAGTGAAGGTCCAGTGTACTTTTGTTTTTCCGACCATTAACGGCTACCCTGGTTAGCTGTTGTTATCGGCTGTTTAATCGACCACTAAATGACAAATGCTTCCATTAGGTGTATATACACTGGAAAAAACAAAACACTACCACGTTTGAACACACTTCTGTAGACGATTTTTAAGGGTTTCTTAATAAATTGCAACAAACAGGAAGGTTTCATTGCAATTCTCAATTTAGTTTAGCGATTTTGCCAGACTGCATTTCTTGCCCATAGTGTGTCCCCTCAGTCCTCACCCCCAGGAACACTTGCTAGTGATCAATTATCATGAAACAGAACAACTAAACTTTACCTTACCTAACCTAACCTAACTTAACCTTCCTATCCCAGGCTAGGAATACATTATTTTTGGTTAAGCGAGACAGGTTGCTTAGCATTATTTTGTTAACTGTTTGTATGAAAAGTTCACTGGGAAGACTGCTTAAGAGTTAGGCTCCTTTCACTGGCAAGCTCATCAACAGCTTAATCCTAAACTTGTTTTTGACATGTCCAACCTGAATTTCCTTGTAAGGAATATTATACAAAAACAAAAGTGAAAGTTACAATGTCTCCAAACTTTATTTTACTTTTACTTTTTTTACTTTTATCCTCTTCGCCACTGATCGGCTTGTTAGCCGCTTGGGCGATCGGTCACGACTCTTTTCCTTTATATTCTACAGTTGGCCATTATAACACGTGCTGCTGTTCACTATTACCCGAGTAGATAAACTTTAATTCTGTTAAGTACAGTACCAGAAGATAAATTATTACCATGTTATATGATGAATGGCATTAAAAAAAAAGCTTTGTATACAATTTTAACCCAAAATTCTTCGTTTCACAGCCCTGCAGACAAAATGTTTTAAGAAATACTCTAGGATGTAAGAGTTTAATGTTTCGTGACAACTTTCATAAAATAGAAGTAACACAAAAACTAATCAATTTAATGACTAGTTTTCCCCAACTTAATTTATGCTTATTGTTCTGTGTGTCGAACATTATACGTTCAACAAGCTTAACAAGCACATGTAGGGCCTCACATCCCCCCCCGGCAACACACTGAAGGCCATGTCTACACAGCTCCTCATTGAAGGTTTATCCTCGTGTTCCTTCCCCTAACACACGAGGCCCTGACAAATAACTTTAAATTATGCATTTCATATACAATTAAAGCAACCAGTGGCATACATATAAAGATAGTGAAGAAACATTGTAAAACATGTGGATACAACAAAATAAGAAAGTTAACAAGGTAAGTGATATTCGCCGGCCGGTCTAGCGCCATTGCTGCACCGAAAAGCTTACCTGCATATACTTCATGCCGGCCAGCTTGAAGCCTTTAGCCTCGAACCTCTTGATGATCTCGCCAACGAGTCCTCGCTGGACGCCATCAGGCTTCACGGCAATAAAGGTACGTTCACGAACCATGATGGAGAGAGGTGTGAGCTGACGTGCAACCAGGGAGAGAAGAGACACCAAGCTGGCCACCATAAGGAGAGACCTCGTGGGGGCGGCCGTCTACTACACTAACTCTCACAACTTAAGCTCCTGTCTTACCTCAACCTAATGACAATACTCTACATAGATACAAATATAATAATATATGTGTATGTAATTATATATAAATAAACAAAAACATATCAGATATGTTAGAATTTCTTGTATAGGGAAAATATATATATATTTTAACGGTATCGATGACCTTTAGAATTAATACTAAATTGTATCATGTGTTTTTCTGTCATTACTATTAACAGATTGGTTATTTGGACGTAATAGCTCATTCACTTTTATATATTATGTCGAGTACTGCTTTTAAAAACTGAAAAAAGTGACGTTGGCTGTTTAATTCTCACGGCTTTGGTGACGAATCTAATTTGAGTTAAAGCTTATATAGAGAATAAAATTTAACAAAATCGATTAGGAAAAAAATATTATAGTGTCCTTAAGACCACCAGATGTCTGCGGGTTATGGCCCCTTAAATATGAAGCCTGTAAATATTATTTTGGTTTAATTCGAAAATGAAGAAACTAATATTAAATACATATAATGTATCTATTTTTAAGTTTAATAAAATATGAAAGATCAATTTACCATAAATATTCACACATAGAACAAATAAAAGTGTAATATTTAGAAATTCGTATCAAATTAAAGTTAATTAAACAGTGAGTGTCCGAGGTGTTGTGTGTGTACATCAGAAGACATGTGAGGCAGCAGTGAGTACAGTCAGTAAAGACATATTTCTAAGATAAATAGCTTATATTTAATTATTCGCAGAGCAATGGATGTCATTCTTATGTCCCATATACAGTTGAATTTAGACTGGCTAATGGCTAACACGATGGTGATATGATCTTCACTCTAGATTATTAAAAACTAACAAGACTCAATATTCAATTTAATACAAAGGTTTGAACATTTCACCATAGATCTTAAATGTTTTCTTACTGTACTTCGTGAGGAAAAAAAATTATGAGCAATATGTTTTACGTTGTATAATATGTATGAATGAACTAAACTTGACAAATAATACCTAACCTAACCTAATAGAAATGTACTATGAACAAGGCAGGTGAATTTTGGGGTTTGTAGACGAAAGACAAAAATCACAAAGTCGACAGTACATTTTTCATTGATTTTATGAGATACTGTAAAGTGTTTATATTTTACAGTGAAATGTTGTATAGTAGATAGCTAAGGCATGCAGATGGTCTTAACTATTACCAAATAAAATAATACCTTCTTGCCTTACCTAATATATGTACAGTATATATGCACACACACACATGTACAGAATATTACTAATGGAAGTTTTTTGTATTCAGGGTTTTGTGTAATACAGATGTTTAAGACTCGAGTGTAAAGATGAAGAAAAAACAACAACAATCATCTAAGGAAATACCAGCAAAGGGAAACTCAGGAAAAAAGATGACAAAGAAGAAAACAAAAGGTGTCAAACAGAAAAGAAACAAAGACAAAGGGCGTTCTCTACTATCAAATAAATTCATCTTGGACACACGTGGCAGCAAGAGGTCAAAGTTTCAGAAGCAGTTGAGACGCAAGAAAATGTCAAACTCAACCAGAACAAACGTGTTGGGTTATGATAAACTGATGGAACAGGAGAGGTAAGACTACAGTTACTGCTTATTCTTGTTTTGCCAGGATTTATAATGTCAGGATGTCACCTTATGAAGTTAAGAATGAAATGAAGGTGAAGTTGATTAGCCACATTGATTTCACTTACATGGGTCTTGTAGATTAAAGTGTCTCGCCTTTCTTTGGTGGAAGTAGAAGGGAGAGTGATTTGAGATGCTGAGGTGTGGAGTAACTTTTGAGGCCTAATGACCTTTTCTTTTACAATTGAATTATTGGAGACCTCTAGGCCAGCATCTTTAGAAAAGACTTTGGTTGTTGATGTGTGTCTATTATTGAACAAAATTAATAATTTTTGAGGGGGCTTGTAGGAAGATGATTTATACGTAATTGTTTTATTTAAAGTAAATTTTCGTGGATGCTACCAATGAAGCATAAACAATGCTTCATTGATAATTCCAGTGACTTCTTTCTTAATTTTCTAGGAAATTGGCCAAAGATTTGTTTGGAGAGGATGCAGAGCTGCTACACAGTGTTCCCCAAGAGGCTCAGACTAGAGATCTTCCTGCAGCATCCACAGATAGCACAATTAGCACTGAAGAACAACAAATGATTCCTGATGACCCCTTTGATGTTCATCAACCAGACACAAAAGATGCCAGAAAGCCAGCTTGGGTAGATGAGGACGATGATAATATCAGGTAACATTTTTGAGGATGTTTTGTTTTCCCAGGCATTGAGTCTCACCATTACACTGGCATATGCACTGTGACCCTCATATAGCTTTAGTTACAAACCATCATATCCCACATCAGTCCTCTGTTCCGGCCACTGGACTAGACTTTATGGAGAGGTTGTAAGAAATAATTTTAAAGCTAGGAACCTGACAAGAGAGACTATAAGAGACATTTATTTAAAATATTTCAAATTTTTCCTCATTTACCCCCTACTGTTGCCCTGCTGTTCTCAGTGAATGCTTTTACTGCATTTAATAGCCTTCCTCCCACTTGTTATACCTCCCACAATGCTTTCCTGATCACCCTATCATTTGCCTTTTCCAAATCTACTATAAATTATTAAAACCAAATTTTTTTAAGTACAGTAATAAAAACATCAAAAACATATTAAAGCCAAGAAAAGGGCATAGAGTAAAAAAATATTTGCTTTAAATCAGCCAATCCTGTGATGAAGCATATATGGAAATCAAGGGTTTTCTGTATAGGACATAAAAAATATAAATTATAAATACGTACATTTACTTCATTACAACTCTGATATTTATACTTTTCATACTTATCACCCAGTATTTATCCTCTATCTCTGTCATCCAATCATGACACCAGTAAAGAATATCACCCCAAAAGGATGGTTGGCTAATGTAGTTGGACTTAAATGATGCTTGACAAGTAACATAATTCCTTGTTGACATATAATTACCAAGGGCCAGCCTGAAACTGAACTTTGGAAGGAAAACAGGGATTGAGAATGATTCCAGTAGCATTATTATTATAAGATGGGATTGGTAATACAATTTTATTAATGTATTTTTGCCTTTATCGTGGAAATTTTTTCATATACTGTATCTTCTGTCAATTAAATAAAAATCTTGTAAATGAAATGTGTTATCTTCCAACAGAGTTAAGGATATTTGTGCCAGCATGACAAAGGCCCGAGGCAAGAGGGGCATCAGAGAAGTCTCTAATGTGAAATATGAGCTAAAACTACAAGAGAAGTTTAGTCAGGTTTTTGGCAGCACACCTGAGTGGGCCGACCTTAACAACAAACTCACCGGTGACTCTGATGATGATGATGAAATGACTCGTGTAAGTTCGTAGATTTAATGTTATTGATGCATTTTCACTTTTATTTATACTTGTACTGTAGTATTTAATCTCTCATTTTGTAAAGGCATCTTATATGTCATGGTGTCCGTAACAAACATACTCTACTATTTTTTATGTGACCTACATTTCACAAAGAATTACAGGAATCCCTCGAGTTACAGAAGGGTCACATTCTTTTAAGATATTTGTAATTTAAAATTCCTTAATGTGACACCTGTTTTCCCATGGACTTACATTATATAATTGGATATTCATTCCAAAGAACCTGATGAGAGAGAGTGCAATAGACCGTGCAGCATGGAGAGCTGCCATCAGGTAATCACGACTAACCCACACAAGCATGGAAAATATCTGTAAGATGTTTTTGATAATGGTGACTCTATGTGACTTTTGTAAGATTATTCTGCTTAATAGCTGTTCATCATTGAACTGAATACTGTATCTTCAAATCCCCAAACACTGCACAGCCTCACCACTTAACTTATATAATGTTTGCTTTACTGTTGTTATGTCAGGGTTAATTTTAATGTGAAAATAATTACATGTGAATCACCAATCCAGTCTTACAATGTTCTGGATTTACAGGTGTGTGGTGACTTGGTGTATTACTGTATGTATTGTTAAAGATCATAATACTGTGTTGGGGTTTATGAATACACTAATACATGTATGTTTGATTTTATTCTTCAGACAACAGGGAATTACTTATCTGCAGAGTCCTCAGGCAAACTTCCAAAGACAAGTTTAGAGTACAAGAAGTTGCACGATCTGAACCACACATCAAGATCAGAGGGGGCTGTGTTGAAAGCTGTTGAATTTAACCCTCGCTTCCAGGTGGGATTGGTAGCTGGGTTTTCCAACAACAGTTTTGGAGCTGCCACACTCTTCCAGGTAAGAAATAAATATACAACTGTATATACAGTAGTTGAACTGGCTGGAGAAAAGTGTTAGATTCATGTATGTCTCATAATAAAGAGGATCAGGCAGGAGATTTTTAAGTTAAATATGAAAATTAGTATTTGTGTAATAATCAAGAAAGTGTAGTTGTCAAAATATTCCTGCATTAAGTAATAAACTAGCCGTATCTTGAATGATGTTTGAAATACTCGTATTTTTTTGTTACAAAAATAATTTATTAAATAGCAATATATTTTCTTCCACAGGTTGATGGTTCACTTAATCATAAAATTCAGTCAATCAAGTTCCCAAAATTTACAATAAAATGTGCAAAGTTCTTGCAAGATGGCAAAAAATTTGTTGTTGGATCCAATTTATATGGTCATTTCTTTGTATATGATATGGAGGCAGCCAAAGAAATGAGGATACCATGTAGTAAAACGGAAGAAAGAAGTAGTATGAAGGTTTGTAATAATAATTTTAAATTTGAACAGTGTATTTTCTTATACAAGATGGAACCTTTCCTTGTACTTATGTCATTTCACACAGTACAGTACTCATACAATATTTTCCCTAAAATAAAATTTCTCGGCTGGTTTACTGAAATTTCATTGATACCCTAATTAGGTACTGCACATGATAATACTTTTCAGGAGACAACTCTTCTTTCCCCTTAGGTTAGGTGGTTTTTTGTAATTACATACAGTACTGCATTTACCTCCTGCTTATGTTATATTAAGAACAGTGAGGATGTCCTGTTGTTCCTTTTAGGGCAATAGAGTAAGGTGTCTGTTAGGACAAAGCCGAGTGGATATGTTCATAATTAATTATTTCCATGGCCCATTATACAAAAGTTTCAGAACCAATCCATTTTTTATGAAGTGTAGATTATTACTTTGTCATTGGCTAATCACAATTTTTCTTGTTTTAAAGACTTAGCAATAATACATACAGTACAGTGTTCTTTAGTGGCTCACTTTTCAGTATTTCTAATGATCTGATTAATATATACCTGTACCTAAACAACCATTCTTTATGAATCTCAGGCAATTTAATTGTCTCTAAATCCGTACCTCATCATCTTGTTGCAGAATTTTATTGTGTCACCCGACGGAGAGCTTCTCGTGTTCGTAGGGACAAAGGGACTTCTCTACGTTTTTGATGCCACAACCCTCTCCCTCATTGATACCTTTCATTCTCCAGAGGAGGTTAAAGCAGCAGCATTTAATGAAAGTGGATCCAAGATGTATACACATGGAAGTGAGTGAAAAGACATTTTATTTTAATTTTGTGTTCAGAGATAAACTGCTAACAAATGCAGTCAAAAATTTATATAATGATTCCTTTTTGTAGTTCCAAACATTTGATCAATTGTTTTCTTTAGTTTACTCTCACCATTACTTCTAATTGGTTATCCTCAAATGTTTTTGTTTTTTACCACTCGGATTTATTTTTCCTTGCCAAAGTTAAGCAGGGGGATCAAACTGTACTTATGTCCCTTATGCTTCTTTGTTAATACAGTAAGTTGATCAGTTTAACAGTATTTGCTAGTAAGCAATATATCTCTAAACCCATCAATCTTTTCATGATCAAACAAATTCTTATCATATTTGTATGGAATCAGTTCTTTATGTACCATGTTATTTGTGGTCTGTGAAATATTAAACACCTATGGGTAATGCTCTTGAACCACCTTGTTATTACAAAAGGGAGAGGAGTTTTCTTGTTCATTTTCAGATGTGTTGAATTAAACCTTTATAGACTTATATTTAGATAAGTCATACAGTATCTTGTAAGATTTAATGATTACATTAACCTATTTTTTCAGTTGGTGGTGATGTCTTTGTTTGGGACATGACTTCACGTGCCTGTGTTCATAGGTTCTATGATGATGGTTGTATTGATGGAACAAGTATAGCCGTGTCACCGAGCAATCAGTTTCTAGCGTGTGGATCATCATCTGGAATTGTCAACATATATGACGTGGCTAATATCTCGAGCAAAGCACCAAGACCAGTGAAGATCTTGGATAAACTGGTAACGCCCGTGACTTCCCTCGCCTTTAATCCTTCTTCAGAAATTTTAGCAATGGCTTCGGATTATGTGGATAATGCCATGAAATTGGTAAGAATTTTGTCTCCTAATTTTATACCACTTGGGATGTTTACTGGCTTTATTTTTAATATAATACTATTAAACCTCACTCTTTTCCTCTGATTTTCCCCATGTTTTTGCAGTAGTTTATACAGTACAGTACTATAAATTCCCCTTGAAATATTTATAGCAAATAAAAAAAAAATACCTCCTCTTCATTTTAACTGTGAACACTAAATATAGCCATCATCTGAATAAGAGTAAAATACTTGACATGGTTTCAGGAAGGTCTACAAGTCTGTTACAGCTACCTTGGGCTGTAGACTAGCAAATCCTATTATGTGTTATGAATTTGTGAAAATTGGAGCCTGTTCAGAGTGACCCATGAATGTACATGCCAAAGCTTGCTGTGTTTTCCTGGTAAACCCATAGGCCAGGTGTGACCAGGCAATCCAAAGCTCATTCAGTTCCCTTTGCCAATAATCACTCGAGATGAAATTAAAGGTCACAGTTTGCCCCCTAAGACTTAATATCAAGTATTGAAGCTGTACAATTAATTATTTTCACTGCATATTGCATTGTATTCTGGATGCCAACCTCCCTGTGGAAAAATATACCCAGCCAACTCCTCTTTTAGTCAAGGAATAAGCTGTGTGCATGCCTCCTCAGGACTAAGGTTGGGCTGATTCATATAGTTACTAGTGGTTTGTAATGAAAAAGGAGATATTTTCCTTCTCATACAAAGTTTTGCAGGTGTTTAGATATGAAAGAAGCTACAGGTTATTCTAGGTATTTTAGCTGATATCTTTGGTGCTTGGTTTTGGGCTGCTAGTATTTTTTATTGGAGCCCTGTTTATTATTAACATCTTGGTTGTTTGATAATTAGTATTGTCTGCAGGTATTCACCACAGTTATGACCCTTTTTCATTTATAAATTATGGTAGAAATATACATTGATTTCAATGAGCACCCTTATTTAAGATACGTACAGATGTTTATAATAAAATATGCCCTTTCATTTCTTCTACAGATACATTTTCCCTCAATGACACACTTCAATAACTTCCCTGGAGGACAATATCCTTTACGAAGAGTCCAAGTTCTTAATTTCTCCCCTAAAGGTGGCTTTTTAGCCGCAGGGAATAATAATGGAGCAGCTCCTTTGTACAGGCTGAAACATTTCTCAAGTTATTAGATAAATATAATTTTAAACTTCAATGTTGTCAGACTAGAGACAATTTCTGAAAGTTTTTCAGATTGTTTCAATTACATACATTTGTTCGGATTCATTTTATGAAAATAAAATCATGTCTTTCAATACTACTGAATTTTGTTTCTCCAAAACAACAAGGTGGCTGATACATCAGAATACCAGTTGCTGCATTAGAAAGTGATTAAGAGTTCCACTATATTTTGTGGTAATTGATCAGATTCTGATATAACAGTCACTTCAGTGACCAAATTGAATTGCAATGGTAAAAAATATAAATCTACCAGTATACTAAAAATATTAATACAGTATTGTAGGTTCCAAGGAATGGCACAAATTGGCAAAACCGCGAATAGCAACTTATACTACCTTAGTCCACTGATTTATGCCTACAGTATACTGTGTATTAGAAACTTAAGTCACCAAATACTATTTACCTTTGTATGTGGAAGTTTGGAGCTTGATGAAGTGGTGTACAGTACAGTAGTGAGAAGTCTGGTTACTGAAGCATAGGGAAATCATCAGGATCACTGTTGGAAGAGTGATGTAGTGTTGGAGAGGCGGCAGCAGCTGACCCAGTGAGACGAATCAGTTGGGCGAGTGGCTGGTTCTTTCTTGAAAAACATTGTGATTGGTAGTTGTTTCCTCTTGGCTTTGAGATCTTTAAACATTTCCCGGTAGGGAACCAATGCCTGGTTGATTTCTCGGACCAAACAACTGACCAGCTGCGGCAGCACTCGTCCTCTCCTCCTCCTTTGTCAGGGTCATCACTGACTTCCACCTTTTACGATCACTCCACTAGCACTGACACTAGGTAGTCTTTTAGGAGCCATATTCACACAAACACTAAAGTTTTGAGAGTACAACACAAGAAATGTTGCGTCGCAGGCAATGGTTTAGCGTGAACAGAGGGAGAGGAGACGCTGCAGGCACGTCGGCTGACTCATTGAGCTGCGGGATAGGCTCACAAGCTAGCCAGCATCTGCTTAGAGCGAATCGTTGTGGTTATCAGCATATATATATATATATATATTGGTACCAGCAGAGGACTCCCTATAATATATTTTAATACAGTAGTTTTACATAGTTATTTGTGTATATCAAGGTTGGTGATCTTTTTTTATTAAAGGAGTCAGATTTAAATCAGATTTAGTTGATTTTTTTCCATATCCAAAATACTGAAAAAAAAATCCTTTTCATTGCTATAAATTTGTGTAGCAATGACAACATTGATGGGTTGTGAAGCTACCAGAATATTATTTATTTATTCTATTTTTTGCCTGAAACATGTTTATCTGATAAGAGAAATATTTAGCTCGGCCTTCGTTAATCTGTAAACATACTCTGTACTGTATGTTTTCATCAGTAACTCTACTGTGCCTTGTTTGTTTAATAAAGAATGTAAACAAAGGGTTACTTGATACCAGCTTCTTCAAATCCTCTTTTGGCCATTTATGTAAATATCAAATAACCAATAACTCACATCTTCCATATAAAAGAAGGGATGCTGTAATGGAAGCAAGAAATGACAGTTCAAATAAGCAGTGATTTATTGCGCTTAAATATAGGTAACAGAGTAAGAAGGAACATTACAGTACTTAAGCTCTGATAAAATTTGTGATGTAATACTTCCATGATAGGCCTAGGATAGTACTTCCATAATAATAATACTGTACCTGTATTACTGATGACAAGTTTAATTGTCCAACATTTCTAGCAAATAATGTTACATTTAAATGCAGGAGAACTGGCTATAGCTAAAGAAACTACTAGGTGTAATATGGCATAAAAGTTATCCTCTCAGTACAATTCTGTCGTCATTTTAACCCAACGCTTAACCAAAATAAAGTAAAAAAATGTTCTAATAAATTCTATTATATACAATATATACATATAGTGTAATGCCAAGCTCAGTGAATTGCACTTACTGCCCTCATGTACAGTAGCTAAAACAACAATCTGTGCATACGTCGTGGGAAACAACATGAGACCATGGACGGTAAATTTTGGTATATGAGGGCTGTCACTAGTCACACGTAAAATTTGGGAGCATATCAACCCCTACCTGCACAGATAGTTGTTTTAGCTACTGTACATTACTTATTTTTTTTTTTTACTTCTCTTCTGACTTGGCTTTGCTGTTTGTGTATTAGGGTGGGTCTTTGTAGGATCAGGGCTAAGGGATGCCATGTCTCTTGTTCTTTTCACTTTACCTCGACTTTCTGACTTCTGGGTCTTTGGGGTGGTTCTGGCTGGTGATGAAGGCCTCTTACTTTGGATGGAAGATTCATCCTCACTATCGGTGACCTCACTGGAGTAAGATTCATAAAGTCCTCCTGACTGACGTTTCTCTTTAATAATTTCATTACTAACTTTAACCAGTTCAGAATTGAGGTTTCTTCTAGTACTTTTCCGTAGACGACTAAAGTCCGATTCTTTTGCATAGGCTTCAGGACGCTTTAGATGAAGGAGCAATTTTGGTTGTCTGTCTTCATCTTTATTAGCAAATGAGATGGTTGAGTCTATGCTAATAGCACTAACTTCCTGTGTCTCATTAACAAATGTAATATTACTAATGACACTCTTCTCTGCTTGTGGAGTACTTATAGCACGCATTAAATCCCCCTTATCTTTCTTTTGATTTGGAATATGTTCAGGTATCATTTGATCACCTTGGGTTGGGTAGCCTCCAACTGGTCGTGGGTCTACATGACTCTTATCTTTCTCCGGTGGTTTCATTTTAACAGGCTCACTAGTTTTTTCCCTAAAGTCACTCATACTGCATCTGCGTTGTTTCACCACACCGGATGCATTATTTGAGGCAGCTGATATATTAAAGGTAGGAACACTAATACTCCTCCTTCTGGCAGCTATAGTTTTACAATTCAGTAAAGCCAATTTACGAAGTTCATTGCTGGATGCAGACGGGCTCTTACTGCCTGAACCCATGGAAGGTGTTCCCCTCTTGTCTGGGTTTAATATTCGTGGTGGGAGTATTGGAGAGGAACCCAAAGGTCCTACCTCATGTTTCTCCTCAGAGATTTCTTTGTCTTGATTACCATCTTGCACCTGACTCTGCTCTGCTGCCCTATACTGACCAGCTTCCTCAACTCCTACATTGTTCACTTGCTCTTCTTCCTGCTGTTCTTGATCAAAACGTCGTAAGTCAAATTCAATTTCCTTTGCTAATTGCTTGTCTCCTGTCAGAATCTCCTTCACCTGAGGGTTTGAATGATTGATCAAAACTGAAACTGTTATTTAATGTTATTGTAAGATAAGAATAGCTTAAGTAACATTGACCTATCATCCTTTAGTTTACTCTCATTTACATTGAGCAGATTAAGGCCTCAAGCCACAAACACATTCAAGAAAATATCCAATACTTTTATGTGCTGTACTGTCAGTTTAGTACACAGTAGACACTGATCAGCAAAAGCTACATGGAATAGGTAACTGAATGGAATTGTGCCAGTATATTTAAAGGTTGTTTCACCCTGTTGGCTATGGCTTAGAATATCATCTAAATCAGTGGTTCCCAAACTGGGGGGGGGGCACGCCCTCCTTGGGGGCCGTGAGGTGGGTACAGGGGAAGCGTGAAGCCATCTGCCAAAATTTGCTATTTTTTGCTCAAAAAGAATATAATGAAGAAACCCTTTCAGGAGTAACTCTCCCCATTTGAATCTTCCACACATCCGTGCAAAACCAAAGTACAGCAGTCACCCCTATCATTTCATCTCTCTTTCCTTACGTGTCTTGTACATGTCATGGATACTATACTGACTCTCACACAACACTACCAGCCGCTGATCCTCCCTCATCATCAGTTACGGTATGCTAAGATTTATCTCAAACTGTGTGTTTTAGTCTGGATTTCTTCTCCTTTAGTAATTTTTTAATTAATTTTGCTTATATGAGAGAGAGAGAGGACTTCACAAAAAGCAAAAGGGAGTGTCATGTTAACAAGTTTGAGAACCACTGATCTAAATGAATATGAAGTTCTCTTACATTTAGTAGCCATGGGAATAGCATATATTCAAGATGCAATTCAGTAAGCCCTCCTCCAGCATGGGAGTTAGATTACTTGGGTGAATCCGCGTTGGAGGAACTTTATCAATCCATGTATAAGGAAGCCCGATAAAGTGTAAAATGTCAATACTGTACTTATCTGTGAGGGGGAATATACAGTCCTGACAGTCAACAATGTGTGTTTGAAGGAAAATATAATTTTGGAAGAATTTTAACTTGCTTACCTCATTCTTGTAATCCTTCATAATTTCCTTCAGGTAGAGTAAGAGATGTTTCATCAGAGGTGATCGATGTTCTTCCAACTTATGCTTCATGGCAATCAGAATGGGTACAATATTTTCAATAACATGGCGCTTCACCACCTATAGAATACAAAACAGCAAGTTAGCCATTTACCTATATTCAGTTTATTTACCAACAGTAACAATCTCGCTCTCTCTCTTCGTAACATAATATAGTCATGAGCACATCAGCATAATATAAACATAGAAACATTATTAAAAAAAAGGAAGAACAAATAACACATTCTTAGCTTGGAATCATGCAACCTAGTATACTATGAACTGCATATCATAAATATTAATATCACAAAACATTACAACACAAATACAGAAAAGACCAAGTGGACTACGCAATTGTCAACTGCAATCACATGTATCGTGGTAGTTTTACAGAGGATATTACTTTTAAACATCATGCCATTATTTCGATTACCATGTGGTGAGCCAAACAGTGGTTAGCACTGAGATTTAGGAAAGCCACTTAGTGGCCACCTCACATGGTGAATTAGCAAGTGAGCCAAACCCATGTGAAGGATCACTACTAGCTGGGACCAGAGTGGAACACTAAATATAGTCAGTGCTATATTTCACACTATTGATGATTTGAACATTAACCCACAACACACATGGGTGAGACCACAATAGGTGTTGCCCTGTACTGTATGACCTCAATTCTTGCAATGGTTACACTAGTCAAAATATTATTGACTTATTGGACTTTTGTGGCCTCCATAAGGAATTCACACTGATGTTGTATAAAACATTCAGTAATGATATAATTTACCAGCCTTAATTAGCCCCCCCCCCCAAAAAAAAAAACTATTAGAGTTGGTTTCCATGAGTGGGAGTAATGCTCCATAAAAAAGCAGATTAAGGTAAAATGTTTGTGAGGTAATATTTAATGACAGTTGCCTTGATTATCCTGCCACATACCAAAAAACTCTATAGAAGAAAAGTTCTCTGCAAGAAAAATTTGAACTGTATAACACAGCAGTAAACAATTGACAGATCCCCAAGTACAGTACCCAAAAAATATCCAGATACCTATACTGCACTTAACTTCTCAAGAGGTGAACAGGAAGGAGTCACAGTGAATGTCACCCCTGTCCATCGGCTGTACTGTATACTGAACATAAATCAAGTTGGTGGACTTAGCCAGGGGTTGTATATGGATATATTGAGGGCATCACTATTGTTATAGCAACAGTACAGTACTGATGTAGGTAGACATGGCATAACCTGACCCATACTCCTAAGTGGCACTAGCTGTATTATGTTCACCCCATTTGTAGTTTTTGGTTAAATGAATGAGGTACAGTATATAGAGAGATTATGTCACTCTAAAATACAGTAGTTTTATATCAGGATTATAAAAATGTCTTCATATCACATACTTAAGAACTTAACCATATTTACTTTACAGTTCATGCACCTAATGTCATCTTAATAAGTAAAGGGAAATTTTAGAAGTAAGCAGTCTTGATACAACAAAACCAGTCTATACATGGCCACATGCATATGGAAAAAAAAATTACTATCAATAGACAACATTATCATGACAGCAAACAAAGCTCATCAAAGTTTACAATATTATTTTTAAAAGTTGATCCATGTGGTAATGATCAACAACATATGGGTGAACTGATGACATTGAACTTGGCATATGGTGTAGTATGATATTAGCTATGTTAAAATGCCAAAATATGACATATGCTTTGATGTTTTATCTCAACACTGTCATGCAAAAACCAAATACTAAAACTATATAAATATGATACTGTAGTTTAAAATGTTGCTGTATACAAATTAAATATAGGCTTTCACTTTTCAATGAAAAACAATAATGTACAGTATTTAGTGTTGAGACAAGGCAAATTAATAGTAACAATGAAAGCTAAGGTAAATGAGAAACTTTCTCGTGGTTACCTTGGGAATCCAATGATCCTGAGAAAAATGTATTAAAGATATTTAGCTAAGTTATCAACATCACAGTCTAAGGAACAACAATAACTTAATCATAGAGAATTAAGTGTCCAGAAAATCATCATTCAATGATGCTGAATTAAAAAATCCTTTTTAAAGCAAACTACTGTATTCTATTCTTTTCAGAGGCACTAAAAATCTGCTTTTAGAAGCTGTATGGAAGTACAACATACGCTAAAATATCTTACACAATTCATTTTTCTCCCTCTTTCATTACAGTTGGATGGATACTAAATCCGAGTGTAAATTTTACTTTGAGACTTGATATACATTAAAAAAGAATGGGAAAATTTTGCTGAAATGCCCATATGGTTCATCTTTAATTCTTTGCAACTTTCTCCTTCAAATATTAATATATTTTCTAGTTAACTCTCCCCTGCTTGTCACAATCATACTTTTTGCTAAGTTAGAGCAATGACAAAGATTTGAGCATGAAGCAAAACAAACAGATGAACAGACAAATGGAACACGTGGTTAATTGTTGTAATTATCATGGCCTTTAAAAAAAGGTTGATCCTCAAATCCTATTTTCTAGCAGAGCCCACAGCTAAGAAGCTCCTGTTAATGCACAGTACACTACTCCTGCATGACAGCTGGGGGCTGAACTTACAATCACTCATCCCTCTTATTAATGTTAACTCCCCAAAAAAGGCTGCTATGGTTGCCTTGTATAGGCAGTAAGTCTATAAAGTCACCAGATGTCTCCTTAGACAACTAATATCATGTCCAACCACAGGGAGGAGAGAAGTTGTATGAGCTGCTTGGGTACTGACTGGTAAACAATAATATTTCAGAATCACATCTCCATTTCTAGCTTGTTGCCCTTGACAGGATGCTCCTGTTAACAAGAGCCATCAAGAAGCTGGGAAGGATGTTACCCTTTTCTCTTGATCCTGTATTTCATTAACAAATCATATTGCAAATTCACATCACCCTTATACTTACCTACACCAGGTTAAGGGGATAAGTCCAGTGTTAATGTAGCATGGGGTACTGTCCAAAAATGATCACATACAATCCTTGAAATTCCTTGTAAAATAAACAATAAAATTCCATCCATGATATACTGATCGCAAGTACCTATTCCCGAGTCACGGAGAGGGATAACCACAATAAACTATCTGAAATACAATATTCTCAACACTATAACCATTTCATGATTAAATAGTGTTAAACTTGAAGAGGTATCATCAGGGAAAAACAATCTAACCTGAGAGATGATGGTCTTCTTGATGACCATCCCTGCCATAGCTGCTTGCTCAGCCTGATCTGTTGGTTGGTCAACATCCTCTGGTCTGTTTTTCAAAGAGGCAAGCTTGATCTCATCACAGCTTAGTACCGTGAGTGTGTCTTGCAGCATGGGTAGGCTAGATGGTGTCAGTTTGATACGCCCATCAACCACTCCACCTATGTAAGTATTTCAAGGAAACATACAACTTGTTAATAGAGGGAAAATATAAATACCTTGTACTGTAATGTATACCAAATTCTTATTCACCATTTCAAGCCTTTTCCTGCTAGAAAAGTGGGTAACCTAAATCAAGCACTTATTTATTTTAACAGTTGTATTCTACAATGGTGTTCCCCTTCCATAAGGCCCTGCTGCTCCACATAAAGTTAGCATCATATCTACCCCCAAAACCCACTTGACACAATGCTTTAGTCCATCATCTTCTTGATCTTCCCCCTTACCTCCAACTGTACATAACTCAAGTGGTTAATCCATCTAAATTAAAATCCCTGTAATTTAATTTTACAATTAATTTAAGGTACTGTATTCACCAAGAACATCCTGACAAAGGCGCTGGGTTGTAGAAAAGCGCTGGTCATCAGGCATGTGGTCCAGCATAAAGCGATAAATCAGGTGACGATCTTTTGTGTGTTCTTTGCCCGCAAGGGAGAACAATTCCTTTTCCATGGAGCTCTGTGTAAATTTGTTGTATGATTCATGCTCCTGGAACGAGAACAATCAAAATTAGCTCAAACTCCAAAAATAGTAATTACCAGCACAGCAAGTTTCAAGGATTAAAGAATTGTTGTCATAAATGTAAATACTGTAGTACATTACTGGACTAACCAATACACTAAATAGTCCAGAAAGCAGGAATCCCAGTACAATACAGTATAATAAAGCTCTGTTCCTTACCTTCTGTCTCCTAATATTGAACTACTGTACAGGGTACCAGTATATGATTCAAACACTTGTGTCATGATGAGAAAGTTTGCCTTACAACAAATTTTATACCTTTTACCTAAACTACACCCTGAAGTATTAACACTACCAACTCCCATGGTGGGGTTGACCCATCCACCCAAAGTGAATCAAGTTTGGGCTGCTCCGTCCCACCCACACGGAGTGTAAAAAAGTTAACACATTTTAAGTTTGTGAAGGCATTTTCAGGCATACAGGTAGTTATTTGTACTTGTACAGTATACTGTACATTATACATACTGTATATAAAGAGAAAATCACTTGCATGACCATTCCTGGAGCTAGATGATATAAGTGCTACTCCTACATGCCATTTCTTGTTGTCAAACACTACCACAGAGAATGAAATGTGTTGTTGGAATATAAATACTCTACCTAACACATCAGCTAAACAACCCTCCCACACCCCCGTAACTATCATTTTCTCCTGCATCTTTCTTACAAGTCACTGCCATCTCACCAAACCCCTCTATACTAATAACTTACCTCATAACAATTGTAGTGAAAAATGCATTCAATGAAGTGCTGATTCAGAATCTTTGGGAAGCGTTTCAATAATCGTTCTGTTATGTAGAAGATAACAGTACTGCGGATATCCTCATGGTCATCTGTAAGACACTGAAAGAAAAAAGAAAATAAAAGAAAAAGGAAATAAATATACAGTATATATATATATATATATATATATATATATATATATATATATATATATATATATATATATATATATATATATATATATATATATATATATACAGTATATATATATATATACACAATGCCCCTCACTTAATGCAGGGGTTTTGTTTCCAGAAAATGCTGTGTAGAGCAAACCTATTATAACACTGAGTTAAGGGATGACTTAGGTGGACCTCACATAGCCCCCCCACACACCGTAAACACCCCATAGTTCAAAGATATTGTACAGCTCTAAAGTAGTTCATTAACACACATGCATCTACCAAATTCACTTAAATATGATATTGTGGAGGCACTGGCATTTCTATGAAATCAGTTCCCGAACAAGAACAACAAAAAACCTACCTAACCAATGATAAATAGTACTGTACACAACTGCAATAATTTACTACCTAACATAATAAAAGCATCAATAAGACAAAAATATGCAGCTAAAACCAATAAGTAAAATCTAAATGAAAGTTTAACACAGCAGCCATTTGCATAGATCAGCGGTTCCCAACCTCAGGTCGCGAGGGGCCTTCAGACAATTAAAAAAAATAGTACTTATCATAGTCAAACAAGTTTTTGCTTAACATTCAAGCTACATAATATATTATATGCCTGAGGGTCACGACACCGTATTGTTGTGAAATTTAGGTTCGCAGCCATAAAAGGTTAGGAACCACTGGCATAGATGCTGGCTGCATCACGCATAGCCACCCTGGTATAATTTAAATGAGATTAGTTTGGATGGCAAATGCAGCGGTTTCATTTAATATGTTATTGCTTCTCATAACTAGACTTTACCCAATACAGGTTAGTAATGATGCCACTACTGTATCTTCATTTATAGTTTATACTGTATTTTGATTATTATTGATCATCCCAATACAATAAACAGTGTTTAGTGTGTACATATAAAGATCAAGTAAACATGTAAGTCTTCAACGTCAAGTATTTATGGCCAAACTCTACCTAAGATAAATAATTTCACACCAAAGGGTCATACAGTACTTCCTACCTGTAAAATTCTGTAAAAAAAGGATCCTTTTAATTTTAGGTAATCTTCCTGCAGCAGATTGATGAGCAGTGTCAGTGTCGTACGGCGCACTCTGATGTCTGGATCACGAAGGCATGCTGTAACTTGAGGCATCAAAGGATCAACTAATGTTGCATACCTGTATGAATAAAAAAAAAACCATTAATAATCTTCTTGATAATGAAGCAATAAACTCTTTAGTAGTAAAATAAAAAATTATGTAGTATATAGTGGCCATCCATTATTCTACAATGACATAAGAAAAAACCTGAATAATTAAAACCTCCAAACCTCATAAAACAAAAACCTGCATTATCTTAGGCTGCAAGCTAGAACATGTGAATAAATTCAGTTATATGAGGGGCAATGCCAACAATCCTGGCAGACTCCATCCTCATTCTTACTGTAGAAACAAAGGCTATGTCTACTTGATAGGAAGTAACAGACAAATGAAGTTATAAAGTGATCAATATATAAGTAGAAATAATAAGAGTAAGAAAGTAAACTCTTTACACTCACCTGACACACATATCTGACAAAGTAAAGACAATATTGATCTTGATAGCTGAATGTTTTGTTGTATCGAGCATCTTCCCCAAAGCAGGAATGATGCGTTTGGCCTGATCCTCATGCTGTAGGCACATCTTGCCTAATGTAACCACAGCTAATGCCTAGAAGATCATTTATTATTCAATTTTGCCCATATCATTTAAAAAAGTAAAAGCATAAAAATTTTATTTTTTATATTCATTAAAATTTTTTTATTCCAAATTGACAACTTCAATCACCTGGACACGTGTGGTGGGAGCAAAAGTAATTGTGGTGGGTTGGGAGCTCTGTGTTTGTGATGATGGAGCAGTTGTTGTAGTGAACTTATCTCCAGGCTGGTGGAAAATGATACTCTGAAGCATGAGAAACATCCTCTTGTTCACTTTCTGTGGACACAGCATGGATGTCTCTCCCAAGGTGAACAAGTGTCTGTTGATAAAATTCAATGTCAAAGGTAAAAATTAATTTAGATAAATTCCTCTTAAGAAATATTTTCATTGTTTATTCATTATTGAATCCTGCTTACTTTTAATTGTTCTTTATGGTATACAAGAATCTTGCACTATGAGGGCCCTTACCTGAAAAGCTTCTCCTCACCAACACTATTTAATGGCTTAGCCCTTTCAAACAATATATGCTTTAAATGTTCATCACAGTTCTTCAGAAGCGGTGCTGCCCATTTTTCTATTGCTTTTTGACCTGAAACATATGAATATACTTAGTCATAAAAATCTGTAATGGCTTAAGATTTAAATTAGTCACAAAATAAAAAAGAACTTCTGCAAATATATGAATAGGGATTACTGCACACATCCTCAGTTGCTACATGGTGGGTATGTTACTTTGCATGAAGCTAGAGGTAAACCAGATGTTTGATTTGGGACTTGTTGAGAGAGGGGGAGTACTGGAGTAGAACACATCTTTTATAGCAGTATAAAAGAATGAATGAATTGCATTAACCAGCCAAATGATGAAGAAATGAAAAAGTATTAAATAGAAGAAAGAGGAGTGTTTGCTCTTTATTCCAGCCACCAAGAACCATTGAGAAAGAAATGAGAAAAATAGCATAAAATAAAACCTTTTTTATATTAGTATATGCAAAGAACATCCTCAATTAATACATACAAACATAGAATTCATACCTTCTACATCATCACCATGCAGACTATAGCTGAGAAGAGTAATGGTATCCATCATGTGGGATATGAGCTCAGCTCCCACAGAAAAACTGGTGATTGGTTCTAGAAGCTGCTGCTGCAAGGCCTCTGCACGATCCCCTGGCACATGCTTGATGCTGTTGTTTAACACCTTTAACACTTGTAGGAGAGTGTAAGATCCCACCTGAAAAAAACATTTGAAATGGAATTTGAAATTTCAGTACTGTATACCAAAAATTCAACTGCGCCACAATAACAGGTTCCACTAAAGCCACGTATGCATTACAGAACACTACTACTACTCCCACACACTCAACACTATCCCACCTACGCCTCTCAACAAAAATACTGTACACAAAACTTTAGCAGCCTCCTCTGTGTACTATATACTTATGCAGTTGAAGACCATGTCTACCTGACAAGATAATTGGATAAAGCAGTGCTTGAAACAAAGTCCAAATGGATTGGTGAAGCATCACAGACATGCACACAACTCTGAATACTGTATATACACCAATGTAAGTAAAGAACATGAACAGTACAGAAGGACTCAGCTGAATGGTAGGCTTATGCCAAATGTGATCAAGAGGTGCATGTGAATGTGGTAATATCAGCCAAGAAATATTCTCTGAAGTAATTTGCCCAGGACATTAATAGTGCAAGGACCTTCAAGGGTGTAAGTACTTGCCTCTGAATTAACTTGACAGTGTTCTTCAAAGTAATCCACAGCAAACGTAGCATCCTTCACCGTGATATAGGTCGAGAGTAGTGCCAGTAAAGTCCAGGCTTCCTCATTGTTTTCCTTGCCAATGTGACTTCGTACCAACTTTATCACCTTGGGCCTTAATACAGAGAAGAAACATTTCTTTACAAAAATAGATAGAAGTAAACAAGTTATATTTAGGCAATACAGAAACTTTGTTTCTGTGATGCATTTCAATTGTTTGATAATAAACTAATTCATATTTTTGCCATGTTCCCAGCTAGTACTGAGAATTTTTGAAGAAAAAGTCAAGATATTGGACTTCCTAAAAAGTGGCGTATCTAATTCTGAAGTTGCACGGCGGTTACCCTGGAATAAAAAATGGGTTATACGTACATCTGTACTGTATATACTGTACAGGAGGTCCTGAATATACACGAAATTCTCACATACACGGGATCCCAGGAGCGTAACCCTCACGTACTCCGATACCTACTGTAATAAAATCTCCTCTCACTTTGTAATACCTGATACAGTACTTCAAACCCCCTTTTCTCCCCTTTGATTCAATATAATTATTGGGCAATCGGTTTTCACGGATTTTTGGCTTTAGTGACAACGGTCTTCCCCCAATTAGTCCGTTATCCCGAGAATTGACTGTGCTATGCTTATTAATGACCTGTAATCATTGTGTACAGTACACCATAAACTGTCACTAAAACATATTTTGTACCATTTTGTGTTGTCTTATGATGCTTCGGGGAAGCTTTTATTTTAAGTACGAAAGTACCTCAGCTTTTCTGGAATGGAAACTTTTAGTAAAATGAGGCTAAGATGAAAGTGAGATTGGATGATTTTGGGCTGAAAATAAATACTGTGCTATAAGCACAGAATATAAGTCATCACAAACAGAATCTACATCATTTTATCCCTAATATAAGATGCTCCTATGTTGTCACAAACAGGATTTATTACACATCTTAAAAATAAATAAAAAAAAAAATGCAAATGAGCTCTTACTTCACAAATTCTGACTTGGACCACATAACAAGAGCTTTGTTGAAGAACTTATGAAAGCTCCGTTTTATGATGGCACCAAGAATGAGCCAAGGAAGCTTGTTTTCTGGAGTTCCTGACTGAGGGTGACCATGGACCAACAAATTCCTGAACAGCAGCTGGTCAAGAACCTGTCAAATAAATTACAGATCAGAAAAATTGAAAGAAATTGAAAACAAGCAAAACAATCACTGTATGTGCTGTCATGTGAACCTCAACTAAATTTGGAGTGAACAGAAGTCATAATTGTATAGTAAATAATGGAATCAAGTAAATTCAGATTCTCACTCACATAATTCAAGTACAGTATACTATACTATACTGTATAACTAATCATACTGTGTCTATAGGTTCACACTACATATATTAATATGTATTAAGGTATGAGCAATAAAAAATTTCCCTCTTTAGAAAAAATCAAGGTGGTGGTCAAATTGTTTTCTAAGATTAAAATGCCAGTACAGTACAGTACTGTATAATTCTTCTCAGGTTACTAAAAATAAATTACTGTATAAGGATTCATATACAGTACAGGTACAGTATAGTCGGATTTTATTTGCTGTAACTGGGTCCCAACACATATGCCTACATTTTGTAACTGTTTATGATGTAAGATAATGGTATTGTATATAGGATGTATCCTTTACGGATCAGCCCCGTTGGCTACATACTGTTCTGATAGCTACAATTTTTGTTAAATAGCCCAAAGAAAGCAGAACAATAGAGAATCTTACAACATATCCCCACACAGGAAAAAGATCACCTTACCTCGACAACACGTTCTTGAACTTTTACCTCAGGATCAAGAATAAGAGGAATAACACCCATGATCCAGGTTGAGATAACAGTTTCATGCTCAGGGTAACAGTTCATAAGAGTTGACAGAGATGTTATGATCTGTTTCCTCACAAGCAGTGCCGGATCACGACAATGCTCTGCCAACACCTGGAAACACATACAAACCTTATTATGGTTCAACACAACACAAATATATAGTATCCCCATCCTGCTAAAATAAAGGTACAGTCATCCGAGTTACCTAAGTATATCTGGGCTGCAAAATTTCACCATCCTGGAACTTATAAAACCAGGATACAGCACAAAACTTTCACCATAAGGAAACGAACTTAAGTTCTCAACTAAAAAAAAATATGGAACAATAAGTTTGCTGATATTATAATTTTCTTTTTAAAAATTTTCTTCTCTAGATATTTTCTATAAGATAGCTGGTTAACCCTGACCACTGTCCTTAAATATGACCATGTTTAATGGAGGTATATCAAGGGGGCACTGTTCAATCATCTCACACAGGTAAGAGCACGTTGAACATTTTCTGTCTGTTTCTCCCAATAAAATCCTCCCTGTGTAAATACCCTAAATGCATAGTACTGTACTAAGGTTAAGCTAAGTGTAATGGCAACTCTTTGTCTTTATCATCACCAGTGCAAATAACAATCACTTCTTACCCTTATTCTTGCCATTTTATGAAAATAACCTTAACATATCTAAAAATAATGGTAAATTTTTACTTTAGGACATGAGTCCCTAGGGGTTGACCAATATGTTTTTCCAGTGTATTTTGGTGTGTTTTAAACGAATCTGACCTTCATTTGGGCGGAAATTGCTCGTTTTTGCTCCCACCCCCCTCCCCCCAACAATAATGGGGGGAGACCTGGGAAATCGGGGTTTTTGGGTGGTCATCTAACCTAACACCTAGTCGCGGACCCTCAGTAGGCCTAGCTTAGACTAACCTAAATGTTTTAGTAGTTTAAAACTTTGGGGCGCACCATGTCCGAAAGTACAATACCTTAGTTAGAAGTGGAAGGACCAGGGATACGTAAGAATTGGTTAGGTTGGTCATCTTTCTCGTAAAACTCAGCAATAAACTTAAAATAATTGTAGGAGCACAAATGACAACCAACCTCCACCATGGTTATTGTGAGATTAGTCAATGAAATAAAAATAGTACCCAGGCTGCTTCCTTTGAAAAAAATCCAATGTGATTGGTCGAAAAAATTTGCATGATGATATCAAAACATAATTGGTCACGACTGGATGACGTCAGTCAATATTGCGCATGCGTGATGCGCCGATAACATTTCCTCACAGACGAAGACTGAAAAATATGTAAAATCAATTGAATTCAATTGTGTCGCTATTATCCATTTCCGCCTGGGATATATGGGGTTCAAAATGCTCAGAATAGGGAGATCTAAATGTTTCAGTAGTTATAACTTTGGGGCATGCTATGTCCTAAAGTAAAATAATACCAAAATAACAAATAAATTCACTACTTATCAACAGATTCTACTGAATGTACAACATACAAGTAGTCAGCATACATACTTCCAAATTCTTTTCCGTGAGCATCTCGTTGTCAAGACGCATTAAGTTCTCCAACACTTGTAGCGCAGACTTCCGCACTGTCACCTTGTCATCCAGTGCTCTCCTGTGCAACATTGATACCACTCTTGCAGCATTGGGCAGTTCAAGGTCTTTATCCTCTCCATCAAGTTCAATTGGAGACTCAAGGTTGATATTATTATTTGAAATATGTGGTGTTGCAAACATTGCCGGCCGGGCACGAAAGAAAATCTGCTTCATAGCAAGCATTATGGTAGGATTGGTTGAAAAGGTGCAGTCGGCTAGAAGAGCAAGTGCCTTTGAGCGGACCGTGGCAGCACTGTCACGGCACCTTGAAAAAATAATACTGAGCAAGAACTTGTGTGAGAGGATGTTGCGATCTGGTGGAACTTCCACAGGATGATCTGCAGAAACATTGACAAAACTGAGTTCCGCATCACTTTCCTCCACACCTTCCTCTGTTATTGACTTCAGCCTTGACCTATGAGGACGAACTTCCCGTTCTTGGCCTCCGGGAGTTCGCTCCCCCTCGGCGTGCCGCTCTTCTTCCCTCAACATCTTGGATATCACTTCCAACAGGAACAACCTATGACCTGCTTTCTCATTGTGTGAGAACTTGAAGAACCATTTCATAAGATGTGTGTAAAGTTGAATGGGAAGATAACGCAGAATTTCCACCACCGACTGAGCGGTCTTCTGTCGAAACTCTGCCCTGTCAGGTACACGGATACAGAGGTGCTGGATGAGAATATAAACCCCTTCATATGCATCTTGCTTTACCTGGGTCAATATATATTTCACAAAAATCTGTGAATGGTCCCGGATAACTCCCAAGGAGCGGGTCGACAAGTCCGACGATCCTCTGGAAACCATAAGTATATTGTACAAAATGTGTTTCATGATTATGATGACTATTTTCTTGATTTTACCATGTATGACATTACATACAGACTGTAGAGCAACATAGGCATTATATGTCAAGGCTGTAACAGTTGCCGAGCCATGCCTTCCAATAAATATTGCTTGAGCGTTGTTGGTTTCACAGCGAGAAACATCTATCAGAATACTGATAGTTTCATCCAGAGACTCTGGCGAATGCTTCAATGAAAATCTTTGAGTTAGTCTCAAAAAATCATTTAAAAGGATGTTCAAAGATCTTATCAATTTATTTGCTTCATTTGGGGTCAACATGGCCATTTCAGCATCGTCATCTTCATCAGCATCAGCTACTAAGTGGTCGTCGTGCGACTTCCGCTGGCTTCCACGCAAGGCACTAGGACGGCCCTTCTTCGGGCTTGAAGCTCCAACTCGCAGCTTTGTGGTCAAGCGCATGATATCAAGAGATTTGAGGTACAAAACGGGATGGAAAACTCGAAAAGCATTACTGCCAGGGATAGATAGGAGAAGAAAATACAAACTAGCAGCCTGGATGCCCAGTTCACGGTCAGCCTCTTTGGCATCATACCGCTGACCACGGTAACTGTAATAAAACAACAGTGCCAACAGACCTTTCACATCCTCAGACAAATCAATCCAAAACCTCGTGTGCAAGGTGGTATCTTCATTAACGTCAAGGTTGGTAAAGGACAGTCTCTTTTCACTATTTTCAGTGGATATAGGTGGTAGTGTATCTACCCACTGGCGACAACAACTGATGACAGCACTAAACAAACCGCTTAAATTTGTGCTGTAATGGTGGTCTTCAAACTCTGATGGCATATCTTCCACCTCTGTGTAGTCTGAGTCAATAACATATTTTATCCAGCTGTGGTCGAGCTTTTCTAGAGAGAACTTGGACAATAATTCCAACACTTGCTGAGCCCGGGCGTCCACTGTTGTCTCAGCCATCTTGTATGTTATTTGAAAACCTCAGCGACAGTGATACCAACTAAACTCTCTCGCACATACATGTTCCCCAAATGGCTTTTACTTTAAACTTTTTTCTTTAGTAAATTATTCATATTCAACCAATTATTTCTTAGCGATAATATTCATTGACGGTTACTAGTGAGATAAGATTTGCAACTGGATGATCACGGGCCTATATCGCCTTCGTCCAGAATATACTTGTAACTGATCAGAGACAATACATTATAGTCTTTGGTAATTGATCGATAAAAAGAATGACCCTATTATATACTGTAATCATTGAACAAGGCCGCAGAGCATCAGCAATAATTATAAGAACAGGTTAAAATATGTACTGTATAAGTATAGACAGCGAGAGATGCCATATACTGTACCAATTTTTTATTTATTTATTGGAAATTAGCCGATTCGCAATAGTAGGGTAGAATTTATTTCATTTGTGATCGAGGAATGATTTAAAATACACCATGAATCAATAGACACAAAGCCTATTGATCCATAGTTTACATAGTTATGTCCGCGGCACCAAATTTGCTCTATTCTTCCAGTAACCACCTGTGGGTGACAGCCAGTGATGCCATATAAAACTATGTTAAGTTTAGCATTTCTCTGTGATCTACAGCTTCCCTATTTTGATAAAAAAATCTGTTTATTTAAATTAACTCGATATTTATTGATTTAGAATAAATTAATGTTTTTCTGACGTTCAACAATTATACCACGTTTCTTGCAGAAGAAAGTCATTGCAAATATAGCAAAAAACTCAAGAATAACATTTTGCTATTCATAGCAGCATTCGGCAACATAGGGAGTTAGTGCTATATTGTTAATTTGGGTGGACAAACTCACATCAAAATGTATTGGAGATAATGAATAAGACGTGAGTGGTTTTATGGTAATTCGTTACATATAGTTTCACCGAGTTCTATTAGTGCATTAGAATTAATGGCTAAGATGAGTCTCCAAATATTAAAATAATTTCTGCTCTACAACCTCTTCTCCACTCACCAGCTAATAAGCGGGTCGGACAGTGCTCTATTGCGCACGGTTGTTAAATTCTGTACTGTAATGAGAAAGTACAGTCTCTTGAGTGTTCCAAGGATTAGAGATGTTTATAGTCCTTGGCTCACACACGGTGTCATCACAACATTCTCAATTAGGTTATTATATAAGTTCACAACTCTTACTCAAAATATATCTGATAGTTTTCTGTATTTGTTGTTCTACAATTTCCTCTACAGTTATGTGTAATCAACTTGCAAGAAGAAGGTAAATCAGGCAAATAAATTATTAGGTCTTATAAGAAGGTCGTTCAGATATCGAGACGGTCCGTCCCCTCGTAACGGTCTTCAGGAGTGAAGTGCTTCTCCATGCTAGGGACTGTTAGTTGGTTGAAAATGTTCAAAGGAGGGCCACCAGACTGGTGCCTGCACTTCGGCACCTCAACTACCCTGAGAGATTGGAGCGCCTGAACTTACTTTTTACCTTATCCTCTTCACCAAATGATCGGCTCGTTAGCCGCTTGGGCGATCGGTCACGTCTGTGACGCACTGTTGGCAAGTACTGGGCATGCACCGGCTTATACTACAGGCGGGCAAGGGGCGACCTAATTGAGGTGTATAAGCATCTCAGGGGGCACTACTCAGTCGAGTGTCCTTACCTGGAGCTGGCGGACGCTCGCCCCACAAGGGGTCACAGCTCAAGATTGAAGAAGCCGCAAGTCCAGAAAACCGTGAGGGCAAACTTTTTCGGAGTGAAGGTTGTAAACTCTTGGAACAATCTACCAGAGAGTGTTGTGACGGCACCGTGTGTGAGCTCTTTCAAGACCAGACTTGACCACCACTGGAGCAGGTTCAGGTACATTCAGGAGCCGGTGCATGTCCAGTACGTGCCAACAGTGCGTAACACAGACGTGACCGATCGCCCAAGCGGCTAACGAGCCGATCAGTGGTGAAGAGGATAAAAGTAAGACTACCTTGAGTAGAACCACTCATTTACAGTATGTAAATAATGCTTCACTATTTCTGTATATTAGAGCATGAAATTATGCGAGATCAAATTATCTTAGTGTCTCGTAGGGAGTTGAACGTTAAATTGGAAATCAGAAATATATGCGAAAATTACATACCTTAGCATAATTTTACAGGAGGCCAAGATGCTGAAGGTGGCAACACTGGCGGCTGAGACTGGGTGAGACGCGGGCCACAGTGCTGCTGTGACCAGTGTGAGGGCCTGTGTGTCCTCGACCATACGCATTTAGCCGAGTGTTAAGTGCGTTTAGTGACTCTTCTTAATTCAGTGTCATTTAACATGGATTGTTGATGTACAGTTGCGAGGATAAACAATTGCATAGCCCGGTTAAAGGGCAGCAACATATGCTACTTGCTTAGATAGTGACGGTGCTTGGCGCACATATGTGGAAACAGGATTTTCAGACGAGAGGTTACCTTTACATGTTAAACTTATCAGTCTGTCACTGTCACTTCGCACAGAGGAAGTACAAGATGTAATTGCAAGGGTGTCATTAAAATTAATATTATTTTCTTCCAGTGGGAGCGGTACGTAATAATGGAAATGTCATTTTGACGATGAGTTGTAGAGGTTTGAGCCACTTGAAACTCTTGATAACAAGTGGTGCGTCTGTGGCTCTTTAATGTGATGGATGGTGAATAGGCGGGCGTGCTGGGTTGGCAGGCCCTTCACTCATACATGGAAATAACATGCTTTGTGGGGAAACAGAGGAGCTAAGATTAGGCCTTACAGAAGGTAATCAGTCTAGGTAGTAATGTCTTCTCTGGTGGGAGTGGTCTGACTACATTCTCGACCATCATACGTCAAGTAACTGTACAGCGAGACGAGTTCTAATTAGCCCCTAGTAATTTATTGCAGTTATAAAAGTTTAGATTCTCATAGAATACATACTGAAGAATGTTATTGTTTCGAGGGTAGGCTCCTTAGCTTGATGATAGTGTGCATTATTACAGACACTGTGTGGGCTGTAATGTGATTCTTTTATTTTTGTTCTCCAAATATAGTTGTTGATGTCTGGGTCCTCTTGTGTGGTGGTCACTTCTGTTGTCATCTGTGAACCGTGATGTAGGTTACTTGTCATGGGTCTTATTGTAGGTGTGAGGAGTAATTACTTAGTATGGATGATTGATAAGTTACTATATCTGTTAGGAAAGTAGCTGTGTACTGACCCAAGTGCAGGTATTTGTGTCTGGATGCAGTCTCGTCCTGTGTACCAAATTGACGACTAACTCACTCAGTGACCACATAATACAGTATCATGAAATCTGACTACTAGATATTGGGTAATCTTGTATATAATGGGTGTAAGATCACGAACGACATTGTTTATAAGCGGCAAGTTTGGGAACATCCTGAAGTACCAGATATTGTGCTGCTATATTGTATAATTTATCGTCCATAAATTGAACCAAACTAACCCAACCTAACTTTAAAGAACTAAAGTTATCTTCTACTTGTAAAGCAAGACACCAGATGTTTCATTTAATTTGTTGTACTTGCTGGAGGCACATCACCTAATGTGATCATTTCCTGGACCTCATTGCTAGTGTATATACAGTACTGTCATATGAAAAAGTTTGTTGTTAATTTGTACAGTATTTAACCTTGTGCAACACATCTTTTATGAAGCTTGGATCTATTTGCCTTGTATTTTAATGTTCAGATTGTTATTGGTGCAGCAGCATATGAAATATCTTGGTTAAAACTTCACTACTTGTAGAGTCTTCCTCTGTGTGTAGTGTAAGCTGATGACTGAGTAGCATGAATAAGTGGTGAGAGTGATGACTACTGTGTAAGTGATGATGTCCTGACATCATACATGAGGGGGCACCATCAGGTGTGAACTGAACAAGGTCATGCCCCTGGTGTGACCCAGAGAGATAGAGACTTGATCAACTTGTGGCGAGGGCAGTCATCATGGGACCTGAAGGATCTGCCTCCTTCCTGCATATGGGGGACATTGTGTCCCTTTATGCGGAAGGTAGTGTGTCGGGTTTCATTAGCACTCTTGGGTAAGTGATTTTTAAATTTTGATAGAACTAGTCTTCATATTTATTCAGAACTAATTTAAGATATTAGACAAGGTATCCAGTACTGTACCGTATTTATTGTATATACTGTATACAGTACCTAATAGAACCACAGAATTTAGGATGTACAGTAACTACAGTACAGGACCTGCACTGTGTTGGGGTAAGCAATTGGCTTGCAAGACCTATTTATCTGTCCATTCATTGAAGTTGATAATTTTGATCAGTAAATTAAATGCCCCTTGACAGTATCTTTTCATATTTTTGTGAATACTGTATAACATTACTCAAAATTATTTTCTTAACTGGTCAGCTTGCTAGCCATAGACTTTAGTAGCTGTCACACTTGTGTATTTTTCCTCCATCCTCCTGTCATATTTGCTCTGTCTCTGAAAATGCACTATCACACACATCTCACGTATGTTCATCTCCGACCTCAAACCATAAAAAGCAAACATGGTGGAGCTCTTGCAGATGACAGCCTACTCAAGAGGGAAAGTTGCAGCAGAAATATTTCCTTGCTTTGGTCCAGGAAAAAGCAAAAGAGTAAAAAATCTTAATGAAGGTGGCACTGGTTGCCAAGAAGAGAACAACAGTGCCAAAGTATATTTAAGAAGCTAGTGCAGGAGTCCGCTCTAGATCGCGAGAGCAGCAGACCGTGGATGCCGCTTTAATCATATGACACTTTATGAGTGTTTAGGTAAATAGGAATTAAACCATTAATATTCACCTTAGTCTTTATTGCTTACTAATTAATCCAGGTTAAAGAAAAGGTTATCAAATATTTTACTTCAAACCAGAGTTAGTAAAGCTTTTCATATGACCCCGGTCATACGTCAAGCATAGCTGGAGGAAATCTAAATGTACAGGAGTTCTCCAACCCTCAATAAACAAGCTAGAGAAATGCACATGTGTTTTAGCCTCTTTTTGTATTTAGGGTTTAATGTTTGTATTTTCTAACATTCATGAGGTTGTTGTGATTTTTAATACTATAGTACTGTATAAGGGAATGTACACTCGCACCAAAAACTTCTCGAACGTTATAAGCACTATACAGTCTGAAAAATGAACGAAGAATCTGCAACCATTCCTAGATGACAAGCCCCATTCTGCCCATTCTCACATCCATCGTGCCCAGGTGTCCAAGAAGTTTTTGTTGAGAGTTTACATGGCTGGAATGCTGTGGGTTTGGCTATTTGGGCAGAGATCAAGACATGACAACTTGCTCTACAAGAGTATGGAGTCCACACTTATGGCATTAAATATTGGTAGAGTGCTGGAGTTCTTGTTCAAATTGAACATAGTTTCTCTCTGCCAGCTTTAACAATTGGGTAAAACAAGCCACAATACTGGGAAGATTTCAACTCTCTTTTGCATGAGGATAGTCTATATTCTATTGACTGAAGACTGTTTCTTGGGAAGAATTATTTATTGAGTGTAAATCTAGAATATGTCTGGCTGGTACTGCATGAGGAGATCATGGTAGTATAACTGGAGTTGAAAATTTTGTAGCACTGGATAATCCAGGAGTTTAATGCAGCTACCAGGGTACTGTTTTGTAGTGTGTGGCAAAGTATTAGTTTTATCTCTTAACTTATTTTGCTGGGATTCATTGTTTGCATACTGATGATATGACCCAAAAACGTTGTGTTCTCCTACTCAGGTCACTCTTTGATGGCTTCATTGTGTGTTGCTGAAGGCTTGGCTTTGGGTGAGGTTGGGGAGCCAAAGGTGTTCTTAAAATGATACACCATTGTTCACAAGCAGCTCCACACCAATGATATCTCCAGCAATCATACTGAAGGCATACTGGTAGTTGAAAACTGCAAAAAAAATCTTAGTACAATGTACTGTACTTTTCCATTACGCTGTATCCCTGCAAAAACTTTTAAGATTATATATTATTATTTTTTTCACCTAACGTAACCAAACCTAATCTAGGTTAGGTTTGGTAAGTTGAAAAACAAAATAAAAACTTATGATCTGAAAACATATTGTGTTGTATAAATAATAGAGAAGTATATACTGTACTGTATAGCTATTGGAAATGTTAATCCAAAAGCAGTGATATAGCTAGGTCTTGAGACTAGTTTTTCAGGCCCTGCAGGTCTTGGGTGCTTGGATTTCGCTTTCAGATGTCTGTGGTCTTGGATTTTTGTCAGAGACCTTTCGAGGCCAGGCACTTATATATTTATTAATTTTCAAATATGTTGGGAGGGATTGGTCTAGTGGATAAGTTTGGGTTCAGGTAGTGGAGATTAGGATCAATGACCCTCATATAACATATACTGTACCGTATATATATATACACTATACTATACTATACTATACAGTATAAACTGTATGAACTCAAGAAAGAAATAAGATGTGAAGTGCTCGGTAAATTCAGTCTTTTCATTTGTAGTCACCATTTTTTTTCATGAAGCTTGTATGGAATGAGGTACAACAAGGTACACATAAGGACACAGTTTATCATTTTAACATGGGAGCCTTGATTTTTGTGGTGTGCAACCTGTCAAAGAGTATACCAAATTGGCATTACATACTGTAATATGTACCCCTGACTAATCCCTGTATGGTTATGTCTTGGTGTAGCCTTGTATAGAGTTGTCCCACTTCCTGCAGAAGAAGTGTGGCTGCAAGTGGAGAAATGTGCTTTGATGACTCATAGGCACTCAAGCTGGTCCATGGACAGGCTTGACAGAATACAGTACAGTACAGTAATTGTGCTTCAAGCAATTGGTGTGTGATTCATCATGAACATTATTTATGTGGAACCTCGTGCACTAGTTTCCTCTATGATTGACATAATGTAGTGGAGTAGAATCCTTAATAGGTATGAAAGAAACTCTGAGTCAGGAACTTATTTTTAACTTGTTGGTAGGAAAAAGGAATTTGTATGAAATATGCAAAGTGGAGGATGACTCAAGATGAAGCATTTATATACCTGTATACTGTACTGTATACCATACCTAAAATGTCTTAAGTAATGTATAATGACGTCATTTATTACTTTTGTTGCACAGGTTGGTGGATGCCCGTTGTGTGGTGAGCCCAGATGCAGGTGACCTCACTAACCCTCCCAAGAAATTTAGGGGTGAGTAATGTATGGGTGACATATATTGTAAATGCTTCATGTAGGTATTGACATTGTTATATACTGTATATTGTATTAAAGTACCTGGTATTTCTTTAATGGAGTTGGTCTTGCCAGAAACTTTGATTATGTCTGAATTCTTCCCAAATTATCCTAATTGTCAATGTAGCCATGTTCAAAGAATTACCTATATCATCCTGACACATCCTCTTCCACTCACCACAACACTTTCATTTTCCTGTCCAAAGTGATACCTTTTTTTGGTACTATGGATTCCGTTTCAGCACTGTCACTCACAGACCTTTTCCGTTATATTTTTTATGTAAAGTGTTCATATTAATGTCTAATAATAAGTCTTATTAGGAGAGAACAAATTTGTACAGAATAAAGGCGAGTGCTGATTGGTTGAGTGTTTAGCACTGTTGCTTTTATTGATTGATAGAGTTTAAACAAAGATAGTGCTGTCATATATTGGAGTTGTGATTCTGAGTACAATACAGTAATACAGTACAGTACAGTAACTTGAAACGTATTTGGGATTTGATTTTATATACCTAAGTCATACCGTACGTACAGGTATGTGACATTAAGATGCCAGATGTTGGTAAGGGGAAAATGTTTGAACCTGTAAGTTTTGCGTGTTTATATAAAGGACTTACTGTATTGTATTAGTATAATTTTTTACATTGCAGTGTACTGTACTTTCCTCCTATTTTTGTTTTGGCCTTTTGAGTTCTATATTTATTTTTTTAATAAAGAACTTTATTGTCACCTTTAAAGTGTCTGCACTGAAGGGGTGCAGTTGCTGGAAGTGCAAACCTTGAAGTACCATGTCCCCCAAAAAAAAAAATCTGGTAGTAACCCAACCAGCTCTACCCACCTCTTGCCTTACCCGTTACTGCCCATTTCCTGCCTAACCATCAATGCCCACTTCTTTCCTTACCTATTACTTCCCACCTCCTACCATACTCATCTTTGCCCACTTATCTTACCCATCATTGCCCACCTACCCATCAATGTCCACTTCCTGGCCAAACTACCACTGCCTACCATCTACCCAACCCACCACCCTTCTTTGACTAGTACAGTAATAAGTTACTGATTGTCTGTGTCGTATTCAAATTTTCTGTTTTTTCTTATTATTCTCACCTTTCTTGTGTCTCATTCCTTCCCTCCTTCTAGTTTCCCCAATTGATATTACGTTATAGAGAAATGGGACGATTTAATAAACTGTAACTCCTCTTGTATGTCTAGAGATTTCTGTTGGCTTCTACATTGAATCTTAACGCAGGCAATTTGAAACTGTTGAACTAAAAATATTTATATGTAATAATTTGTAAGGTGCACGGGGTTAGCAAATTACATGGATAACCTAATGTATTGTTTTGTGTGTGTGTGTGTGGCAGACTGCTTGTTCAGCATCTGCCCCAGTAACCGGTATTCAGCCCAGAAACAGTTTTGGAAGGCAGCGAAGCAGAGCGGCAACTCCACCACCGACCCAAGCTTGCTCAGCCGCCTCCACGTAAGTACACATCACCATTACTGCACCTTGTTATTCCTTTCGCGTTTTTCTCTCTCTATCTTTTTGGAGAAGTCGTGCTTGTGCGTGATATCTTCCACGTTATGCGTGTGTCTACACCATGTATTGTAAGATTAACTGTTAAACCTTCAGCCTTTGTTTGATGTGTTGCACTATTTTGACCTAATTCTACCGTGTTCGACTCTATCATCAATAATACGACGTAAATGGGAAGGCGAGGAAAAGAGAATGGGGTGGAGGAGATGGCAGAGTATGAATAAAAAAATTAAAAGGTGAAGTAGGAGAATCAGTAGAGCGAGGCGTTAGGTATGGTGGTAGTGAGGTGAGGTGTTGGGTGACGTGTGGGAGGGTCGTTCCTTGTAAGAAGGTAAGTCTGGTTAGGCAGGTGGAACTGTTTATCAGACATGCACACAGTTTACACTGCTGCTACATTACAACTTCCAAACTTTTCCTGGTTCCCCTTAGCTTACCCGTTGATAAAGTGGGATGTCAACAGTATAGCGGTGGTGTGAAAGTGTAGAGAGTATGGATGAAGGCAACATAATATCAGTTTCAAAAATATAATTGGTTCAACTGTGACGGCGCACTCTGTTGCGTATCTTTTGGGTAAGTATGTAAAGTTACTTCGCCACGCACATATCAGTTGACAGGTCATGTTGTCGACAGCTTTATTGTTGGCTGAGTTGACTTGGGTCATTATACCGTGGGTCTATCTATCTACAGTATATCTGTCAGATTCTGTTGATAAAGGTTGAAAGGTTAGGAATCACAGTACATAAGTGAACCGAGGCAGTACATTACGATATACAATTATTATTATTCAGTGTATCTTAGGAATGCAGCCATGATAGGTCTGTTTTATCCTATATGGTATAGATCAGGGGTCACCAAACTACGGCCCGTGGGCCGGATCCCAAGTCCTTCCCCGGCTCGTGGTAGCTCCGCCTACACTCTGACGTTACCAGAGCTTTCGTTCTGGCTTGCAAGTATTGAACAGAATGATTATGCGGCCCGCGCTCGTCATTCTTTTAGTTATCCGGCCCACTGTGAAAAAAGTTTGGTGACCCCTGGTATAGATCATAATGTTTATAATTATCCAGGAATATTAACATACTTGTCACAGTGTAGGTGTTACTGTATACATAGTGACTTACACATGATTACACGTATAAGATCCTGACATGCCCTCACTGCTGTATTATTCAACCATATTCAAAACGTGACTTGGCATAACTACAATTAATTATACATATTTAAGCAAATTGATATGAATTGGTGTAGTGGAAGAGAAGGCTGAATTTTTGGGTTTGGTGTGTAGAAGGTGCTGTTTAAATGAAAAGGTCCCACGTCTTTCTCCTGAGGAAAAAAAAAATATTGGCTCTCGAGGAGGATCATTTTCGCGCGCTACATCCTTAATTTCCTTTGTGGAGCCTCTTTTCTACTTTCATTTATGGTGGAATCATCTATACTTATAACTGGGGTATTGTACTTGATTATGCTGTGGATGAAGGGTTTGATTTGGCTGGTTATGTGAAGTGTAGTGGAGGAAGGGGAAGAACCTGCATATTGATACCCGAGAAGTTGGGTATTGGTAGGAGTGGGTGGTAATACCTGTAAATTAAACTAAGCAAAATGTGTGCGTGGAGAACTGACTAAATGGCTGAAACAGTGAGTGAATTTTAATGTTTATATGATATCATGAATAACGTTTGGGTTAGACAGTTTTTTTGCAATGTACTGTAATAGTAAAGGACCCGTGTGGTTTAGGGGGTTGGGGGGTTCGTAGGGTTCATATCAGGGGTTCAAAGCTGGCACGATACTGTCTTGAGATTGTGTGTATAAAGACGTATAGTGTAGTGTGTAGATGGGCCAAGAAATGTGTCTCTTGCCAACTTAGAAGACATGTAAAAAAAAAAATCCAGTGTGCTGAGGAGATATACAGTACTACACGTATATTTAGGCTCATTGACAAGACCGAGGTGGTGACATAAATAGCTACACATGTTCTAAAAGTAGTATCTTGTCAACTTTGAACTCATGATTTTATTCCTTAAATTAAATGATTTTTTTTTACTCACGTGAATAGCGTAGTGGCTGCCGTCATAGATAAGGGTGCGAGAAACTCATTAATTGTGATATTTTGATCGTGTACTCCGATATGAGGAAGTGGAAATATAAAGATAAAATAGGTGTACATTTGCGATATCAGGTTGGCGATAATTGTAGTTGGGTAACAATGTCATATCGTGGGAAAATAGATTTAACGAGGTACCGTTATGTTATATAAAAAGGCGCCAACTTAGTGAAAATATTTTGACGTTTGTTTGTCTTCAGTAACTAGGAATATTCATTTGTGGGCGGTTACCCAGAGTTACAGTTCTGGGGAACAGTTATCGTCAGTTAGTTGTGATGCTTGTTAGGAGAAGGGGAAACGTAATAAATATTTATAAGGGTGGATCAGTTAATTGCGCGCCACCCAGCGGATAACGGGCCGTTGTAATTTTAGTTCATCAAGTGGTATAGATTTTTATCACTCCGGGGATTTTTTTTTCGGTTGTAATTACTTCATAGTTATGAGCCCAAATACCCCGTCACCTTTAAAAGTGATTCATGTTAAGGAGGATCAAAGTTTCCAATTTGAAATATTATTGGTCTAAAACATTTATATATTTTATTTGTTACCACCACTAGGTGTGTCTTCGTACCCTCATCTTGGGGGGGAAACACTTGTCCAAATCTTGAAAAATTACTAATAAACGACGAATGTATTGTTAAAACTAATTTTAAGTCTTATAAAATTTGCCTGTAGATTTTTTTTCGTAAATGTATAGTTTTTCATATATATATATATATATATATATATATATATATATATATATATATATATATATATATATATATATATATATATATATATATATATATATATTTTCGCATGACGTAATATCTCGTTCAAATCTCATGCAGGGTTTTAGACCGACTATCCCGGCTACACCAGTTAGCGCCAGAGCCACTGTATACAAAAAGTATGGCGTGTTTATCCAGACGTTAAGGTCGGCGGGGTGATGTATACCTTGGTGTATGGAGCCGTAAGAACGTGTGAACTGTACGGTATTTATAGATGATGTTGTTGAAGAAATGAGTTCCGGTGCTGGTCGTCTCCTCAGAGGAATTTAAATGAACTTTTGTGTAAATCAGTCGTAAAAATTGTATATACTGTAATAAAAAACCCACACCTTTAGAGATTATTTAACCCTAAACACGTCAATTACGTTGTGTCCGTAAGTTTTAAATCACCCTTATATATATGTTCTCTAGTTTATAGACTAACTTGTATCATTTAAGCACGTTAGTTGCCCCCAAACCACTTGACCAAATTACCTTGTGTTTCGGCAGATGAGGTCATGACATAGATTTTGTTTACATTTCATACTCTTTTACATGCTGGTGAAGGATCTGGGTTCATAATATAAGATTTTTGAGTACACTGTATATTATAATAGTTGTAGCTCGTTGTTGAGTCACTTACATAAATAAAATCAATGAGTTAAAGGTGTTAGGTTCAAAGGAATGGGATGAGGGGGGCAGTGGACTCGTCTTTCCTCAGTCATTCATTAGTTGAGAAGGACAGTCTCTTTCCTCAGTCATCTCTCGTCTTGTCCCTCCCCCCCCCCTCCATTTCAAGTTGTTCCTCATAATCAACTTATTCCCACAAATCAAAGTAATTCCTTTCTGTCCACTCGCATCCCTGAGTCAATTTGTCATTTGTCTCAATCAATCGATCAATCAATCCACACTTCAGAGTCAGTCAGTCAGTCAGTATACATCACCAAATTAGTCGTGGAAACAACTGAACACCAGATTATTATTCTGTTCAGTGCTGCATATGTTGTCGCTGGCATTATTTCATACCTCGTACAATTATGTAGATACTGTATATATGTAGTTGGAAATCAAGAGAGCCTTAGTAGAATATAAACGCCCTCGCTTCCTCCCTCCCCACTCTCCTCATTCGCCCCTCCTCATCCGCCCCTCCTCTTCCGCCCCTCCTCATTCATTAAGATATTGTGTACATTATTTCCGGATTGTTATTATTATTTTTCTCTCGATGGGAAGTGATGTGGGTTAGGGATAAGCATTAGTTGTGTGTCTGTCAGTCGGTCAGATTATCCCATACTCTGGCGGCCACGAACCACAAGGACAAGATTAATGAGGAGGTCCATCACAGGAGTTGGTGTGTTGCCGGGGCCTAGAGGGCGGCATACTTGTCTTCACTGACCGAGACTTAATAGAAGGAAACAAAGGTGATGGTCTAACTCTACGATGAGAAATACCACTCCTGTGTGTGGATGGGATGCGCGCGTCACTAGTTTACAGACCTCGGTTTTTAAGTGTGTGAAGAAGTACAACCAGCGCTGCCTTCTAAATATCAGGTGGGTCAGGAATAGGAGGATCGCCGTAGTAATTCCAGTGTTCTCGTCGAAGCCAAGCCGAGACAAGCCAAGTCGAGGCGAGCCGAGCCGAGCCTAGCCTATTAACATCAAGATGATGATAATGAGACAGACTTACCTGTACACTATACCTTGTACCGGGCTCTTTTGTGGTGGGGGGTCTGTCAATCATCGTCCAAAACAAGTCCCTCTACATCCAGCTCTGTTATGACCTCAGGAAGCTCTATAAGGACACGTCTCATGAAGGAGAACATGGACATACCGGGAGGAGGAGGAGGCCAGAGTCGCTTGGAAACGTACTCTGCTCCATCAAGCTTGCCTCCTCCTCCCGCTTCAGCAACAAGGAGAGAGAGGAAACACAAACTAATGGTCGACTGATCCCTTTATAAACAAGGGCCCAACAGCAGCGGCACACCGAGTCATAACACACCTCACTAGCACACCCTGGGCAGCAGCGGCACACCGAGTCATAACACACCTCACTGGCACACCCTGGGCAGCAGCGGCACACCGAGTCATAACGCACCTCAC